CTGCGCTATGTAGGTAGCCCCAATAAGCAAAACTTATTATAGGTACTACTACCTATGCATATAATTTATTTATTTATTTTATAAATGCATTTATATAAATATATTGTAGTAATAGAAAACATTCGAATATTCAACAAGAACACAAGTGTTCGTCATGCTTAGTACGAGTATCCACGATTCTTTTTTACTATTTACTTCATTTTTTCTTAACATGTGTTACTTAACTATCTTCGATCTACATTAAACAATAAACATGAGCATAAGTAATTTAAATATATCATCATCATCACTCAGTCATTCTCTGTTCACTGCTGAACATAGACTTCCCCCATAGTCTGCCAAAAGGAACAGTCCTGAGCTACCTGCTTCCTCCACTATCCATTTAAATATATATTAGTCATAATCACAATTTTTATAGTGGCGATATATAATTCTATCTGTATTTGCCAGAAATTAGAATTAGATTAAACTTTATCTACCCGTAAAGTTCTGTTCGTTCGTCATACTACAATCTAAATTTAAATATAAAGTGAAAGATTTTCAGATAACTAGTATGTACTTACATAATATTAAAAACAGATTTAACGATTTATAATAATACATTAAACACACTTTATTACAATGGCAAGTTTAGCATACAATCAAACAAAAGGTATATATAGATATATATATATAATAACCGCAAGTTTCTAGTATTAGATATGGAGTACAGTATAAGGCTACGCAGTTTAGTCATATGAAGGTGGATTTAGACTTAAAGAACAATGTAAAACTACGTGCCAAATTAATTGTGAATGCATTAGCTTGTTTACTTGACGAAGACGAATTATCCAAATCGGTTCCGAAGATATTGAATAACATATACAAAAAAGAATGCATCTGGATGAATATTTTTTTAATCACATAATTTAGTTAGAATAGTATAAAAAGAACAGGGAATTACTTGCTTTGTCAAAATTCACTTTAATTTGGTTGAACACTCATCATGTGACATTTTAAAATATTATGACGATTTTATTAACTTCATTAAATATAAGTTTCAGGATAAACCAATTTATTATAATTAAGAATTAACGCTATATAATTAATCCACACTTTGTTAATAACATATTGTTAATACCTGCTAATTATTACGTAATTAATGAAAAGTAACTTGAAGATCATATCTCACCTGGTCTGTATTACCCGCATTAGCCTTGAAACGGGCTAGAACTGGTCTATTCCTTGATCTATTTAGAGGTGACTCCGATATTGACGTCATTGTTAATAACTGGACTGATGCACACACTGATACAGTTTCGTAAAATATGCGTATAATTGAGTATATATATAAAAAGTATGTTCGTTAAGTATTTAAGGATTCATGCCGTACAAATTGCAGTGATATGAACGACTAACAAACCCGATATACACATTTTTCAGTCAACTCACATCCGGAGCAATATGAACACCGCCCGAATGAATCAACGATTACTACCACCAACAATATGGCAAACACTGATAAAAAATTATGGTATTTCAAATAAACAAGAACAACTTTGAAATCTTTATCTACCAATTGTATTATCAAACAAAAACACAAATTCGAATTAAGTATTACTACTTTTTTTTTATTTAGTAATAAACTGGAAAACAAATATAGTCTCGCCGCATCATTGGAATGGAAAGGATTCAAGTGTAAATATAGTGCACATAAATGAATGCGCACTATAAAAGCAAGAGGACGAGGTACGGAAATATTTTAAACCAGGGGATAAAAAAAACACTGCACAACGACCGTTCCACAATTACATATTCGCCAACTGAAACACGATAGCAAACTGCGCGTATAGGATAGCAAAAGCGTTCGTCACTGCAATCAGTAGCGATGTGCAAGTGTCGTCAGCTTAGCAATGCAGACCATATAGCATAGGGACTTCGATATTGGTGTCACGGTGTTTGCTGGGCCAACGCCTGCCGCCCAGGGCCAAATAGCGGTCGCGAATTCCTACTCGTAATTCTAACAACGCACGCTACGCATACGTGTTCAGTGGACAAACGGTCCTGGCGACCCATAACTCCTATTCGATATAAGTAGATATAGCGTTGAAGTAATTCATTTATTATAATTAGTATGAGTAAAAGCAACACGATAGTGTATGTTAAAAAATCTCTGTAAAGGACAAATTATTACATGAACATTTCATATTGTATTTGCCTAACTGTTACTCAACCTTATGATGAATATTCTAATTCATCTAAATTTAAATTGTTTATTCATACTTAAGTAATCAAATTATTAATATCATTAATATCACACCACTACACCGCACCAATGATTGAATTTATCATAAACATTAATACCGTTGAAACTTGGAAAAACAGGCCGCAGAATTATGTTTACAAACTACTAACCTATTAAATTCTTATCCCCTTATTCATAAATACCAAACTATTTTAACTATTACATTATTTTATCACTTTCATTCAAACTGAGAATTTAGCACAAAAAACTATTCAATGGCTAAAATAGGTTTTTGAGTGGTTTGACGTTTTTATGAATAAGTAGGTAAGACGATTGCGTAAAAAGGAATTATATCAATCGGTGTCATTGTTATATTAGACTAATCTTCCCTTTTAAAAAGCGAGTTATTACTTACCGCTATACAATTAAGCATCGGCGAAACAGCACATGAAACAAATTAATACAACATTTTAAATACATATATTCGCATATAATTTACTAAAGCTATAATATACATATATAATATAAATAATATATAAATTATTTATTAAAAATTAGTCACATGTTTTTGACATACCTAAACATGGAAGGCAACATGTACCAACATCCTCAAGACTATCTGTGCTCATATATTCTATTTCCATTAAATTTGTTAACGAAAACTATTGTTACAGAATTCGTAAGAAATAATAAATACTTTACAAACAAATGAAACGTAGATCCGTGTAATAAAGCAAGGCATACTCTGCTACAAGTCACCGCACTATTCAGTGAATCAATAGAACAGTATTGTTTTTAAATCCCGATTGTTTTCAATGTCGATCATATCGCATACATTGGTGAATAATTTAAACAAATGATGTGATCAATTAAATATCAATAATAAACAATTTTCTTTACCTATAAAAAATATGATTTTATGTGATATTTATGAATACTAACATTTAGCGGCATTTGTAATAGATAGATTATTTTATATACATTAAAATCTGTACTTAGTTATTGGTAAAATCATCATCGTTACGATCCCGAATTTTTCTTTCTTCTTTATATAAATATATTCTAAAAAGAATTATAAATATAAAAAAATATTGTTAAAAAGGTTAATCTATGTGATTATTTTGACATAAATGATTAATAAAAACTGAAAATGCTTGTTAGTATAAAGAATCTTACATGATGACAGACAAGAAGTCTCCGTCGCCTCCATCACACCACTTTTGCTTATCCCAGATTCTTCTTATTTAATAAAAGCGTACAAAGAATATTAACAGTCCCATTAAGGTGATAGAGTGATAAAATTCATATTATATGTCAAACGCACTCGAAAACTTTAGGACCCGACCAAGTATCGATGAACAAACAAATCATTGCCGGTCACCGGTAAATATTGACACAATATGACAGTTTCGAATGTTATTAGTATAGGGTACGGCACAAACGCATGTCTAGATGTTTACGTGCGTGAGATGAGAGTGCGTCGCTTGTCGTACGGCGATTACGGAGAGCAGGCGGTTCGTGCTCAGCCGTCCACGAGGACTGGGCTGCATAATGCGTGCTATTGCCGTTTATGCTATTTCAATGCATTACAATTAATTTGCAACTCTGTGGTTTCTGTATCGTCCAATTTTGATGATTCGCTAATAATTTATTTTTATACTAGCTGTTTGCCCACTACTTCGTGTGCGTGGATTTCAGAAGCAGAAAAACTAATAAAATAGACCACTTGTCAAAATAAAATATATACCAGATTTTAATTCAATCTTCACGTTAGGTCCCTTGTAAGTAGGCAAAGAGAACCGAAACCTAAAGATCATAGAGGCCTTTAACATTCGATTAATATAAGAAAATGAAACAATAGATGTGCGTGAGGATACCATCCATTTCCATCAACCGTTTCATTTATACATGCCTGTGCTGAAATATCATGACTCCTTCCATGACTTCCTTCCTTTTTGAGTCTAAGAGGGCCCCTGCTAACTTTTAAATATAATGCATGGTAATTACAATTTGTACATATTTTGAGTACAAATGATTATTTTAAATAGATATACGTTACACAAAAGTCTACATCCTATAAAAGTAAAACACGAAATCTGATTCTAGAGTAAATATTTGGATAATGAAAGTATACAATGAAGGGGCATTGCTTCTGGCAATGGCAACCATCAGTTATTACCTAACTGTTGTGAGTCCAATAAATTTTCTGTGCAATGGCAAACAAGCTGTCGATAAGCCCACCAAATGGAAAGTGTTTACATGAATTCTATGGAGTACGAACATAATTATATCTCTCAGTCGTGGGCACACTTGAGAACTAAGGTTGCTTATTTCTTACGCCTCAAACAACACAACGACGAAATACCTACCTAATTACAGTCTAAGTACAAATCAAGATACAATTATTATGTATTTAAATACTTAGCAAATTTTAAGGGTAATTAAAATAAAATAAAACTGAAATACTTTATAAGAAAATTTTTAAATTATAAAGAAAAATATAAAGCACATTACTAAAGGACTAGTTAAATGCAAGTATTAAGATACAATAAAGGTAGATAAGCCAGCGTAAACATACCAAAATTATTTAAGTATTCTGTGCCCAAAATAACGATCGTTAGAATTCCTTTCGATCCGCATCACATAAGAAAGGTTACACATATTACATTGTAATAGGACTATTATAATAACCGTTGTCAGCCAACAGTCTACAACCAATAACCTAAAATAGTCTTAAAAACCGAGTTATGCTGATTTTGATATATGGAATATATAAATGATTGGAACAGCAAATAGTATGGTGTATAAGAAACAAAGGTCAGATTCAGTGGTTATATTCGTAAAATTGAGAAAATAAACCGGTGTGATAAACGAAAATATAAATACTTTATAATATTTCATAAAAATACAATACAACTGTATAACTGAAAAGAAGAATCAATGCCAAAAATAAACAGGAGAAAACGTCCGACATTTATCTGACATGACACATGTCAGATAATTTTAATTAAAAGGTTAAATACATAGTAAAATTTTATTAATAATTTATTAATTAAAGAGAATTTTGATATGAACTATTCAAGACGCATATCACTATATCAAGCAACATTCAGTCTTCCAACAATCACAAATAATATCGACAGGACCGTTATGGATACTCTTAGAAAGCTGCTAATTAAATAGATTGTAAATATGTATCGTTTTAATATCCTATTATCGCGTCTTCGCCCATAATCCTTTTATATCCATAGCGTCTCTAGCAATAAATGTTCCACTAAGACTTAAATGTTATTTAAGATATCTATTACAGTTGTGGTAACGTCATGTCGGTCAGTTTCCGCGTGAAGGCTCAGTCTCCAGGAGGTCACACGGTTCGTGAGCACGACACAATAAGAAACTACTGTTCCATATATTTAGTAGTAATCTATGTAGCTACAGCAGATTTTGTTACTCAACTACCCATAACAAATCATATACTTGATTCAATATGAAGTGACAAATATAAATTATAAGGGGAAAGGGATTATTAGTAATGGAGTTTGACAGCCCCATTGCTAGCAATATGCCCTTTTAGGTCGACCTCCACGTGGTTCCCCCTGGAAAGCATCGTGAACAATTCTTGTTGAATTCGTCACGATGGGCTAACTGACCTGAAGCAGTGCCCCGGCGGTATATACCGATAGCGCGAGTGGGGTTACCATTCCATTATCACCCATTTAAAATAATATATATATATATATATATAAATTATGACAGCGGCATATTACCTAAGGGCGGGAATTTTTAGTAATGAGATCTAACAGATCCATCACTAGCAATATACCCTAACAGGTCGACCTGTTTCAACTTTACCCCTCACTGGTGCCCTGCCAGCGTATACCGATAACGCAAGAAAAGTTACTATTGCATTATTATCTATTAAAGAAAAAACTACATATTACCTACTACGGTTCTTTTGCAAAGCTAGTAATAAATGACGTTTTCGGCAATCATCATCATATAAGTCGTTATCAGTCCACTGTTAAACATAGGCCTCTTCCATAAGCTACCATAAGGAACGATCCTGAACAATTTCGTTTTTGATTTTCGTCAATAATACAATACAAATAACACAAACATAAGGGTACTTATGCTACAAACAGAAATTAAACAACACAACTACATCGTACGAAAAAACAAAATATATTACTCCTAAAACTAAACAAGAATGTCAGTTTTACCTTGTTCTACAACAATTTATACGTTGATATCTTTCACGTTAAATCTTTTTGAAAATACTATTTGCAATGCAAAAGAAAGAAATATTATTATTCAAGTAAACTTAAACATTTTTAAATAATCTTTTTTGTATATTTTTATGGCCCATTCGGAACGTAATTTAAGCCTAAAAGAAACTGCATAAAATGTTGCTTTTTTTAAAATGTTTAATTATATAAATTATGAATGTGTGAATACAAACTACTAACCAGTATCAGCAGATCATAAAATTAAAAATATATAGTAAGTATATCATTAAAACAAATTAATAAAATAAATTGGTTACAGTGGCTAGAGCAAACAGTCCCTACAGGAAGCACCCATTCACGAGAATAATGGATGAGATAGCCATCATTGCACTCAACTATATTTTAAAGAACTCAATAACCCGACCCATCACCTGTCTGGACATTTTAGTGAGCATGACTTACTCAAGGCACCCAAACACGTCATATTAAAATAATTTCATACTACATAACAGTCACCTTACGTTATTTATGTAGATATTTCCAATAGCTACATAAATATATTTAATAGACAGCTCTATTGTATTATTTCAGGACCAAACATTGGCATGCATACCTACATTCATTTACAGCATCTATAGAGGTGCATAGACAAGGGCAGGCACGACAGTTATTGAGGTATTTTAACCTTAGATTTTAACGCAAATTTTCAATATACTTCAAAAAGAAGGTTGTCAATATGGTTATATATTTTTTTATGTGTATTACCTCATAACTCAGTTGTAAAATGATTTGTAAAATACTTTTTTTTATCTGAAAGAATATACTTACAGATTGGTCCAAAAAAAAATATCAATATTGCTTCAATAGTTTAGGTTTTAAATTTAAATAACTAATTAAAATAAAAAAATGTTTGTGTAACTTTTAAGCTGTTCCACATATATTAGTTAGGATGGTATTTTGATGTGTGTGAAAGTACTGCACTAATATTCTCTATGTTTTTAACATGAATGACTGATAAAATTGATTTTACTTTAAACATAAAAAACCATGTGTTTGGCCGAAATAATAAACTTAGATATATGGTGTCTCAGACTTTTGTGTAAAGCTAAAAGTAATAACTTTTACTATCGATTTTATTCCTTAGTTTCAAACCATTCGGGCAGTACAAGCCACATTATAAAAATTTTGCTGATTCCAATTACATTTCTTGTGATTTATTATTGAAAATATATGTTCACCAAAATAAATAGAAGTCACATAAGTATAATATATCTTTTTAATAGTGAAAGAATTTTCAAAATTGGATTAGTAATACCAGAGATTACCTCAAACAACCAAATCATTCCCTCCTTATTTCCAAAGTTTGTGAAGCAAAAAATCTATAATAATTACAGTTTATAAAGGTGATTATTACAGGAAAAATTAACCAATGTTTCTAACTGCTTTTTTATGCAATTCAGGATAATAAATTGATAGTCCACCTGATTTTTTAAGAATTTAAAAAAATCTTCATAAACAAGTTTGTTAATATATAATATTAATTATTAAAATATTGCAATTCGATATCTAGCAATAATGACAGTCTAAAATATCCTAATTGAATAACAATAATAATAGTTGTCTATTTCATATAAAAAAATACAATAAAGAGGTCATTTTATATCATATATTTTATATCTACATATGATTAATCCTCTAACAGAACAGCTATATTTAGCCAATATTCAGTCAATACATAGAGATTGTTTAAATTTAGATTCCAATATGTTCTTACAGAGAAATGTAAATATCCTAGCACTATACTTTTAAAAATTTTACTCATGTATTGATTTTTTTTTTTAATGGATGATAATGGAATGGTAACACCACCCGCGCTATTGGTGTACACTGGCGGGGCACCAGTGAAGGATGATAGGTGAGGAGATGAAGTAGGTCAGTTAGCCCATCATGACGAATTCAACAAGAATTGTTCACAATGGTTTCCAGAGGGAACCACGTGGAGGTCGACCTAATAAGGTATATTGCTAGCAATGGGGCTGTCAAACTCCATTACTAACAATCCCTTTCCCCCCTTCATGTATTGATTAATTTTTGTATGTTATGATAATTGTTTTCCCTTTTAACATTTTCACGTTGTAGTGAATAAAATTAATCTTGTATGTGTATTTCAATGTATTATTGGAGCAATAGTGAGAGTACAACATATTCAAAATTTAAATATCTAATGTTCATATAATTTAATATTAATATGTAAAAATCTAATAGATAAAAATTAAAATATTTAAAAAATGTTAAATAAACTAATAGCAGACAAATAAAAGGAAAAAGAAGTTCATCTTTTCACTATATTGAGTTGGATGAAAGAGATATTGTTTGGAGAGAAGTCCACCTTTGTTGATAGTTTAACAATAGTTAAACTATTTTATATATATAACCTACAAGTGACCTACAACTATCCGGATCTAAACCGCATATATGATTATAGTTATTGCATATTCTTGCAAGCGGAGCACTCAATCCTAAATTAGTTTTGCACAGTGGCACATAAAATATCTTATTGATGGGATACCTAGGGATATTGTGAGGAATAACATATTTAATTTCACACAAAAGCTCAAGACAGTGATAAATAATCTGGACCATTATTTCACTTGGTATATATTTTAATATATATTACAAATGATGATAATAAACCCTTTTGCTAAAAAAGGGATTTGAGATTTTTATCTAATAATAAAAGTGTATTCTGTATAATAAAATTAAACACATATTATTCATTATAACTAAAAACTTTAGATTTGTATATGATAATTAGAATTTAATTTGAGCACCTTCAATTATATATCTGTCACACACAATTTATTTTTATATTTATCATTTATATCGGCTCTATTAAATTTCACTTCAAGGTTGCAGAATTAGCAGATATAAATAATCATAATGCAGTTATGAATCACGGTAGTTATTATTTACTGTTATTTACATACGTACATAACTAAATAAGTAATTTATGATGACTCTATAATGCAATGGAAAACTATTCCTTAAGCCTTGCTGTTTTTTATTACTATTGGGGTTTAATGTTGTAAATAAAACTTTCTCTGATAATATTAAACAATTCTTAACTTAGCCTTACAAAATAATATACTACACGCCACGTTATTTAGTAATTCCTCCAAAACAATTATTTTATATACACGTCTTAAGATAACATTTATTAGAAGCAAAACATACAATTGTACAGTAAATCTATTGTAAGATTATATCAACAACATACTAAATAAATGAAATTTATTTAGTCATTTATAATTTATATATAAAATAAAGCACTAATTGTGGATATATTATTTAAAATATTAACCAGACATAATGTAAGAAACCCACAAATATAAAGTTGGCGCGAATAGCCAAATATCTGAGACCAAACAAAAATAGAAGCTTCATAATTATGAAATATGTAATTACCTGATCTCTGCATAATGTTAAAACTCTAGAAACTATATTCAAATTAAAAACATGTCTTATAACAGAATTTTTGTAACAACTTGACCAAAGAGCAAACTGTCAACAGACTCATCCGCCCTAGCACCCGGTAGAAAAATTGATTTTTGAATATTATTACCAGTAATAAAAAAACGTAAAACCAAAATTTATGTTAGAAATCTATATTAGCACAGATAATATAATACTATACTAGTAAATAAGTAACTTAAAAAATATAATTATTTTACTAAATATATTTAGTTTATTTCTAAATATTTACAACTTAATTTGCATTAAAATTTATACTGATAATTTTACAGCATTATATCTTTGATCATATGTAACTCTCGCCCAATGCTTTTCGAGCTTATACCTATCTCACTCTAACATATGTGTATTATGTTACCATATTGTTATAATTTTATCTCAGTGACTTGTTGACTTTGTTCAATACCTATGACTACTTGTTCTGTGGTTCACAGTTCACTGTTAAGTTCATTACTTGTTTTTGTTTTTGTGCCCTTACCTAACTCCTGTATAAAATGCTTGTAACAAACAAAAACAATCAGAAATATTTTACATTATAAAGAGATAAATAAACTAACAGACTAGTATTCATTATTAGTTGTGCCCAAATAAAAAGTTTCCAAATCATTATCATAATGATTTTCAACAAATATAAATACTTACAATTCTTACAGGTATTTGTACACTGCAGACTAGGATATCGCAGGCTGACACAGGTGAATACATATGAGTAATAATTATATAGTGGTAGTAATAGTATACAAATTTATAATTTATTTTATGCAACAGAAACTTGGAACATATTTATTTAAATGTAAAAATATAATTGTCCCCCTAATAGTTCTACATTATAGTTGTGCTGGAAATGTAGATATTTAAAAAAATTATATAGAAATGAATCTTCTTTTTTTGAAAATTGTGCAAAATAAGGCTACTTACCTTCTCACTATAGATTTAAAAAGTAATCCAAAATTGAACTTTGTAAGTCATTTTATAATTTACACTATCTGGATTGTATAACAGGAGATTGAAATATATAATTTTTTAATCCAATAAACTTATTATGTCTAACCACAAAAAGTTACACTTGCGATATATGTTCAATAGAACATCTATTGACACCTTAGTACTACTATATATTGCTTATGTCTAAACTAAAGAAAGTTTATCTTATTAGAAATATTAGTTTAAAGTAATAAATATTATTACAGTAGCTTATAGACTGAAATATTACATACTATATATAAATATTATACAAATTATAAATAAACTTGACAATGTCAAAAGAGCATTTAAGCACTTAAAATTTTATTAAGCACTGTTTTAAAATATTTTTTTAGTAAAAGTATATTTATTATTTCAAAATTCATTAAATTCCTGTTAATTCATAGGTTTGCAATTGTATAATTTAATTCTTTGTTGCACATAATAATCTCATAAATATAAATGAATTAGACTGGAATTCAAGCAATTCCCAATTATTAATCATTTCATAATAATTGGGAAAGAACTAAAATAATTTATAATTAAATATTTAGTTACATAGCATCAGAACAAAGGTCTTTGTTCTAACATCTGGATTAAGTTTAATATGGCCAGCAAAAAAAATTAGTGGCACACCAGCAGGAAACAAAATAGAATCTCCAGCAGTACTCGAAAATGCAGATAAATTGTTTGAAAGTGGCCATTTTGAGGAGTGCTACGATTTACTAGCACATTGTAAGGTAATTTTTCCAATCAAATAAATCCTACTTACTTATTCTGTTATAACAAATAGTGAAGATATTCATTGTAAACAAGTTATAAACAAAGACAAAATTTGTATGGAACCAACAATAAGATACCTATCAAATATAAAAAAAAATATCAAAATCAATTCAGAATGTGTGAAGAAAGTATAAATATATTTTTGTGTGGCACACTACCACTGTCTATACATCTCGTTCATTTATATGTCATGCATTTAGGTTGTGGAATAAGGTACTGTCTTCAGTTTTCTCCTTATAATATAGGGCATTTCAAAAAACATGCATACTAACATTTACATGCAACTTTCATTTGTGATGGTAGTCGCTTTTAATCAGGTCTTTTTATTTGTTTCCCTAACAATAAAAAAGTATATCTTAAATTGTAGGAAACCTTCAATAAAATCGCCTAATTACATTGCTCATTATTCATGAGAAATTACAAAATTTTTAATCATACAAAAATATAATATAGTAATTTTTCTCTGTCTGTGTCTTTATTTTTTATTGTTAGAGAGACAAACAAACAGACGGACCACCTGATGGAAAGGGGCTACCGTCGCCCATGAACACCTGCAACACGAAAGGAGTCGCTTGGGTGTTGTCACCCTTTTAAATCATCTCTCACTGTTACCGTGTCCGTCGTGTGTAGGCGAGTTTAACCTTTCCATTATCACCTATAAAAAAAAAGTTAAGTACCATTGTCATTAACTTGTTGTACTTAATGTGTAAGAATTTAATTCTTTTTGACAGGATAACACTGTGGATATTCAATGGCGTATATGTCGTGTTTTGTACAACATGTCCAAAGAGCCCAAGTATGATAAAACATACAGAAAAGAACTTGTACTAAAAGCATATAAGATAATATCTGAGCAATTAGTAAATCATCAGACACATTTTGAAGTACAGAAATGGTATGCCTTGTTATTAGATGCAAAAAGTTCATATGATGGTATAAAAGAAAGAATAAAACAACTAGAAAATATTAGGAAACATATGGATGTAAGTTTCATTATCATCTTTGTTGATAAGTATGTATACACAGGTTGAAATTGAAATTATTTGCATCCTTTTAAGACTATTACATCTCCTAATAAAATTAAATACTTTTCCCAAAGAATTATGGGTAGGAAAATAAAAAAATCTCGCCATATTATTATGGAATACTCAAAGTATCCTTTTTAAACCACATTTCATTGGGAAATGTATTAAATTTAATAAATATAAGTTATATCTTTTTACACTTAAAAATATATTTTGCCTTTTTTTTAAAACCACAGATGGCAAACAAGCATACGGCCTACCTGATGGAAAGTGGTAACCGTCGCCTATATAAATGAGGAGTACCATGGACATAACAGAGTATACTATTTCGCCCATGATACCCCCATGCGTTGCCATTCTTGAGGACAGATGTTATTCCTCTGTACCCTGTAAATTTACGCCATATCCCACCCTTCAAACCGAAACACAGTCATGCAAACACAACTGCTTTACGATTGAAACACGAATGGGACAGAGGTACCCAAGCAAACGACTTTTGTACAAAGTCTCTCTCTGGTATTACCTATATGGGTTTGACATAAAAAAAGAAGTAATACATACATATATATATATATATATATATATATATATATATATATATATATATATATATATATATATATATATATATATATTTATGTCAAAGAATTCTTGCACCTTACTGGTTTTTTTAATAAATGATTAAAAAACCAGTATGATTAAAAACAGAATTTTTTATGAAAACTAACAGAGCACCAGTGAGGGATGATAGATGAGGATGAAAGTTAGTCAGTTAACGCATTGTAACAAACAAGAATAAACAATGATGGTTTCCAGGGGGAACCACTTGGAGGTCGACCTGATAATGTATATTTCTAGTAATAGAGCTATTACACCCCATTACTAAAAATCCTTTTCTTTCCTACAGCTTGCTGTTACACTCAATCCAAGTGATGCAACTACATTACACATGTTAGGAGAATGGTGTTATCAAGTTGCTGAGCTTCCATGGCATCAGCGTAAGATAGCGGAAACTTTCTTCGCATCTCCTCCTCATGCTACTTATGAAGATGCTCTTGACTATTTTTTAAGAGCAGAAACGGCACAACCGCGGTTTTATAGTTTAAATTTACTCAGGCTTGGAAATTGTTACCTAAAACTAAATAAGGAGGATCAAGCCAAATACTACCTTAAACTAGCGGCTAGCTATCCAGCAAAATCAAATGACGATCATCGGGCAAACAAAGAAGCCGCTGAATTGTTAAAAAAAATAAAATGACAGATAATTAAACTATTTTAATGAAGTACATAATTAGGTACCTAATTTCATTTAGTAGCTACTAACTTCTAGCTGGTACTAGTAATTGAAAATAATTCGTAAAAATAATTTATTTTTTTCTACAGTTTTAAAAACATTGCATATCTGTTATTCGCGCCATGCAATAACACATGAAGCATTTTATCTACAAATATTTATACAGAATTCAGCATGTTATATTATAATATTAATAAATAATAATATTAAAATATACTGCTTTCTTATATGAATCACACAGCTCCACTCGCGTGAATCCATAAATACATAAAGTATCTTTTGTACTAAGTTAGGATATAACATTCATCTATCTATTGTTACAAACTTTCGCGTTTATTGTATTAATAGAAAAGATTTTTATACATAAGTATACAAAAATCCCATGTCATAATTACTTTCACCCTGTTATTCAAAATCGCTTAACCGATTTAAATAAAGATTTTATAAATATGTATTGTTGGCTTTTATATTTTTTTTTTTAACCCCATAAGCAACTTGCAATATTTTTAAGGGCCAAAACAATATTTACCGGGTCAATATTACCACGATACATATTATAAACCTCTAGTCCCAAATTTAGCCGAGCTTCTGCTATGAGAATTTCACAAAGGGAAGGAACTATACGACCAAATACATAGTGAGTCTACGTAGTGAGATATATATTCAATAGTAATAGATAGATAGATACTCCTCCATATAGATTGTTTCCTCCAAAGATTACATTTAGTAAACTTATTATAAATACAAACAAAAGAAAAGATTGAAAAAGCAATAGATATCCTTATCGCTAAGAGTGATCTCTTCCAGGCAACCTTTGGATGGAGAAGAGTAGGTAATTATATACAATTTGACCGTAATTATTAAATATTTTTATGTAAATACATAATATGTATAAAAAAAAACCGAAATAACAAGTATTCATAAAAATTTAAATAGATATTGCACTGTACGAAGATTGAACACGTAACCTCTTGTTCTTAAATTCGGTTATTTTTTTTTTTCTTTATGTATATTAACTCATAATTCCGTCGCTCCTAAACTGATATGGAAAATTGTTTTTTAACTGAAAGGGTATAGAACTAACCTAAGAACTAATAACAAGGAATTACATAGAAGGAATTATAAAATAAAAACTCAATCATATGGTTGCTTCTTTTCTTCTTATGCAAATATAATTAGTAAAAACAGGACGAAAGATACACCATCAGTTACTATTTTTCTCAATTCATAGCAGGCTAGTGTATAGAAAATGTGTATGTAAAATTTTTAATAAAAAGGGTAATACGGCCTTATAAACCTATCAAATTCAGATACAACCTGTTTGCATATTTTCTGCATAAATTGTGTCGAATCTAGTACCGTAAATGAACAAAAATTTTACATCAATATTTTCTATACACTAGTCTGCTATGAATTAAGAAACATAGAAACTGATGGTGTATCTTTCATCCTCCTTTTACTAATTATATTTGCATTAGAAGAAAGAAGGCAATCATATGATTTAATGTTTTTATTTTATTCCTTCTATTTAATTCCTTCTTTTTAAAGGCTATCTTGAATAGGCGCCAGTTTAAAGTTTTTTTTTAATAGATGATAATGGAATGGTATCCCTGCCCGAACTGTATACAGTAGCGGGATACCAGTGAGGGACTATAGGTGGCGATAAAAGAAGGTCACTTAGCCTATTGTGACGAATTCTATTAGAATTAATCATGATGGTTTCCAAGGGGAAATTCGGAGAGGTCGACCTGATAGGGTGTATTGCTAGTAATAGGTCAGTTAGATCCCACTACTAACAATCCCTTTTCCCCTGACAGTTCGAATTGGTCATAATTATGGCGCCATTTAAAAAAAAAACAGCGTTCCATTTAATTATTTTTTAATATTTAAATAACTAAAATGTATGTAATTTGAATAATAAATGAATAAACAATAATTATAATAAATTTGTTTAGTATAATTAAACTTTACATGTATTATTTATTTTATTTATTTACTTATACATATAGGAACGAGCAAATATTTATGTTCGATGGAGGATGTCCTGTAAGTCATGGATTAAACGGATTCTGGCAATAGAGTGGGGGTCACGTCCTATCAAAAAAAAAAAAATAAATAAATAAAAAAAAAATTAATTTAAAAATAAATTAAACTTTCCCTTTCCTTGCTTCCTTTTATTCATTTATTGCTTCTTTTGTTAAAATACTTTTAATAATTAGTGACTAATATTCATTTATTTTATTTTATATTTTTTATTGTGTTATTACTTCGAAAGAGTAAAATGCAGTTTATTTTCTAAGTTTCATGGATATAAGCACAAATTATGAAGACATTGGAGCCGATTCTAAAACACCATTTCTCTATATCTTCCCTTAACTTAATATTTTAATTTGATAATACTGCGGAATTGCTGTTTCATAAATTAAAATTGTAATAATTTTAACTATATATTTTTTATCTTTTAGATAATTACTTCATATTGGTCCTTATGTTAGCAATCGGAACACCGTTCGCCGATGGCAGTGCAAGTAACAACGACGACCCTGTTGTCGGATCCCTAAATTGGACCCCGACAATGGAGAGATGTTTAAACTACAGAACCAATGACTCGTAGTGTTCCTTCCACGAATTTGCACTATTGTTTGATTATAATGGTTGCATCCCGTGTGAAACTAGTGGCTCCTTGTTTTGGGGCTTGGAGGCATTCTTTGAGGGAACGACGGCTTATCTTCCTTGAAAAAACACTATGCGTAGGTATAGGATATAATTGGTCATAGCAAAATGATACGGACAGTCAGAACATACTCCCCTCACCCTTCTAACCATTTGTGTTTCTCTAAACCAGCGGCAATTTTGTATAATTGTCAATTAAACATCTGTCACTTTTGTTCGTTATTCATTGTCATTTCATTGCTCTTTAAATCGTCTAGTTGAGTATTTGCGTGGATTAATTTCCGCCTATTTCTTTTCCGTTTTAAATAGCAATTGCATATTGCTTGTATTTCGTATCTTTAGATATATATTACAAGTATTTACTATGGATTATATATTATTCTTTACCTTATATACTTTTACCATTAATCGTAATTCCCCGATTCCTTTGCCAGATGTTCGTCTGATACGTAGTATCGTCTATTTAGTTTGTGGATGGAACCGTGTAATGAACACTTGTGCTTAACGTAATGATTGTGATATATAAAATTGTAATAGAGTTAGAGACTGAATCACATAATTTAATGTACTAATCATGTATAATTGTTATCTAGTTAATCAATTAGTACTTTAAAGACTCTTGTCTCTTTTGTACCTAATACTTACAATAAAAATTTCGCTGTGATATCGAAATGAAATTTTAATTTTAGAATAAATTTAGAGAACGGCGCCTTAGAATCGACCCCTGGGTCTAAAGAATATAAAGCAGTTGATAACATATGATTACATGCTCTGTGCTTACAGTGACAAATTGTCAAGTGTCAATCGTTTTTTATTTAAAAATTTTGAAGTTCGATTTACCGACTGCTGCCTTAACCGTTACTTTCCATTATTATTTATCGTTTCTTTTAAAATAACTTTTTATCTTGAGTGATTATTTCTAATATAATAAACATGGATCTGACCTGTATCGAAGAACGACTAAGTGATGATGATGAAATATTTATTGGACAATTGTCTCTTAAAGAAATAAAAAAGCGTCTTAAGTGGAATAACTATTGTGAACAATCCGAGTAAGTTAATGTACTTTTAAAAAAATGTAAAGGAAGCCACCTAAGAGTTGCTTTCAATTTACCACACTGAATATAAGTTCTTCCAGCAACTGTCCAACTTTTTGTAAAAATCAAATGCCTAGGCGGGGCACTTCATAGCCCACGGGCCCGTATTTGGTCATACTTCGTTTAGAACTATCTGGAATGCCACGATTTTACTACTCGAGTAGGAATTTTGTTCTCTTCTGAAAAGAATGGCCAACAAATAGGTCTTTTGTACTACTTGTAAGATTTGGTTTTTGATTTCGGTGTTCATATTTAATTTATACATTGTTGTTTTAGCTGTTAAGTGTTCTCTGCTGAACATAGTCTATGGATATAAGGGAGGGGGCAGGGTTGTCAGTAGTTACCACCCTTTGCATATGGGTTGGGAACCAAAGTTAGGCCTTTGGTGATGTTTCAAGAGTGACACTGTTGTCTATCCTTCCACCATCAGCTCCCTTAGTCACCTCTTATGCCCATGAGAAAGGAAAGGGTGGTATATCAATAAATCATACTTTTGGAATTATGTTTTATCACACCAGCCCCTTACTGTGTAGACTGAGAACAACTATTCTTTCATTATCTTGTTAAATAAATAGTTAATTATTCAGATGATTTAATAGCACCCTTGCCATATCTAGTAAAAAAATTACAGGTATATTTAATCAAGGTTAGCTGGTAGAGATAATCATCCCTAAGGGTATTCACTGATAGAAATTTCCCAGTTATCATTTTTTGTAATTTTTAATATATAAGGAGTATTTGTTCATTTCTTATAATATCAAGATGTATTATTGTTGAGAATAAAAATTATATTTTTTTTTTCAGATATTCAACTCAATCAATGAGGAATGAAAACGAGGAAAGTTTAAAGATTATAGAAATACATTCAGAACCAAATTTGACTCATAGAAATGATCATTCAGTAATTTCAGCTTCTTGTATTAAGTCCAAATCACAATCCAGTTTATCACCTGATACAGTGTGGAGCAACAAAAATGAAGATGACACTTTTATTTTAGCTGAAAAATTGGTATCAAATCTATGTTTGTCCCCAAAAAATGATAAGACTGTGCAATTAAACAATACCTTGGAAGTTGTAGACTATATTTTAAAAAATGGGCCATCATGTATGTCTAAAAATAATGAAGAACTATTAGAAGGTAATCAATTGAAAGATAGATTAGCATCTAAAATAACCATTGTGACCCCAAAAAAGGATCAAATTTTACTAGATTCTACTGACAAAGAAGAATGTGTAGAGACTATTGTTACTGGATCGCATATTACACCAAAAAAGGTGGAGTCAAAATCTGATAATAAGACTGAATTACACATCACTACATTTTCTGGACAGAAAATAAAAACACCTGGTATTTTTAAAACACCAGTATCAAGAAATCCTGTGTCTCATAAAAAAGCATTGCTTAGTTCAGTAAAGAAAATACCATCTAGAACTAAAAGTTTTGATCACATTGCTAGTCCAGTAGCATCATATATTAAAAACTGTCCAGTAGTGCCTATACTTACAGAAGTTCATCCAACAAAACCTTTGCCTGGTCCATCATCTATACCTAAGTTAGTAAAAGGAAAGGTTCCAAATAAACCTTGTAATAAAGAAAATGTCAATGCTAATTTACCATCTATTGCTTATAAAAATGCCAAGCAAACTAAAGTGGTAATTAAATTTTCTATTTCTTATAATTTTATTATTAATATCTAATATAGTTTTATTGTAAATTTCAATACCTGCATAGATGAGTGACAGCCCTCAGATATGATCAATCACAAGTTTGACATCAAGAAATTTTATCCCCATCCCTTGTCTGAACTGCCCCCTAGTCAAAATACAAACAAATCTATTGATAGAATTGTTATTACTAGCAGTCCCTTTGAGATAAAATGAGACATGTACGCTGTCTTGTTCTATTACATGTGAACATTGATTGAAGCAATTATAGATTCATTTGTCTAGGGGGTCAGATAAAAATGTGTCACATCCATGTGATACATTAGTGTGCCATATATGTATAATGATGCATCATAACGTTTATGCCTTGGAAGTGCTAAGATATGATTGTAAGAATAAAGCACTATTAAATACAACTATACAATCATTTGGCCGGTATGGTAGTAGCATTCTCCTACATTGAACAACCCTTGTCCATCAGTAAGATAATTAACAAAGAATATATAAAAAATAACAGTTAACACTTTTTTTTATTCAGATGGCTGCACCTAATGCAGATAAGCTACCACAGTGTCAGTGGATTAAGAAGATAACGTCATCTTTACCAAAACCTTCAGTTATAAAACATGACCATAGAGAAATTAACCCTGCCAAGAGATTGTTGTTATTAAGACAAGAAGACAGTTTTGGTGATCTCTCTTTAAAACAAGCAGATGTGTCTGTTTGCACACAAAAGTCTGCATTTAATAGACATAAATAACGACGTTAATTGTTTTTAAATAGGTATTTGAAAAAATATAATAACCTAAACCTTACAATTGACACTAATAAACTGTGTTTAAACAAAAAAAGTCTTCATCTATTTTTTTAACTATATACATAAAACTCCCGACAACAGTATTCTAGACTACGGTAGGGTGACCGTGTTCTCTCTTTTGATACATGTTATAATCAATAGATACCCGATAAAACTCACGCTAATAGTATTCAAATGCAATATCTGTAGTTAGATGCATTTACCAATTACAGTTGTGGCAAATATAACATCGATAGTGCAGGTTATATATATATATATATATATATATATATATATATATATATATATATATATATATATATATATATATATATATATATATATATATATATATATATATATATATATACCTAGAATTATCTGTCTTACAACAAAACAAATTAAAAGATGAAAGTAATATTTAATAATTGTAATAGGTACATAGTTTTCATAAGTACACTACTTACATTGTTATGTTTTTATAATAATTATACTTCACTAATTAGCTACATTTTATAAGTCCAAGTTCGATAATAAATCACAGAAGAATGTTTCATAGAGATTTTACGTACCTATTTGTTTCATCAAATAATTATTTTAATATCACGTTTACATAATTTTTGCAAATAAGTTTATAATGGAAAATAAAAAAAATATTAGCACCATTTAAATCATAAGGCTTAGATTACAAATAATGTAGATAGGTATGCGTGGTTCATAGATACAGTGCCCTTCAACAAACTAGTTACTGATGCGTTACATATTTATATCAAATGAAATAAACATTAATTGTTTAGTATTATTGTCAATAAATGATGTTTGAAGATTTTTTTACTCCAAGAGTTTCTACAGTAGGAAGTGGGCAATTTAGGTTATCATATTGTAAAGTGCTGATTAATAAACACTTGCTACAGTCTATTCTGAAGCGTCATTTCTCGAAATCTATCTCTAAAGTTAAGGTTTCAATTTGATATTATAAGGAAATCATTATTGTAAGAATCAATATGAACTAGTTTTTTAACAGATTTTAGTCAACATTATTGTAATATTAACTTATAGTAGCCCATTAAACAGCAATTTCGTGAAACTATCAAATTAAAATACTAGGTTAAGACATATGCTTAGAGAAATGGCACCACTGTGGGAATGGCAGAATTGGCCCCATTCCCCATTATAAACAACGAAACAAATTGAGAAACTACTAGTTGTATAAAAGTAAAAACAATTGTACTTATTCATAAATTTGTAAGGAACAGTTGTTCTCATTAATAAAGAATTCCAAATTCAACAGAGTGCGAACAATCACAAGCATTGACTAACAATCACGCACTAATTAGTGGTAAAGATCTGACTAGACTAAATTATTAATGTACAAACATATATACTGTGTAATATAAGAGTAAATATATTACAATTAACTATAATAGTTTTGTTTTAGAAAATGCTGTACATAATTTAAAATATATTGCCAATATTTTGTAAGATGTTGAAAATATGATTCAGGAATTTATATAAAGTAGATATTTGATAAGTGTCGCGATATTGTAAAATACAGACAAATTATGTCAATTACACACTTATTATAGACATAAATAATAACAATAAAACAGCAATCAACCGAATGATGTCATTTATATAAATTTAAATGCAACGACTGGATCATTTATAAGACGACGCTATATTGGCTATTTATCTAGTCAAAGATGACTAGATCAGTGTAAGAGTATCTACATAATTACTTTATATAAATAACCATCGATTTAAAATTGAGAGTATATCAAATTAAAAAAAAATATATTTAAAATATTTTTCTTTGAAAGTTAATCCCTGGATTAACACCACACTTCGGTATAAAATCTATCTATTATAAGTTTGTCATTTATTACGAGCATGTAGTACAAAATGGTGACGTATAACTTGACCGAATTTTTGGATAGACTACTGCCTTTTTCTCTACATTTCATTTTCCATTAATAATCTAACATAACATACTGTAACAACTGAATTAAAATTTGAAATATTTAGTTTATCGTCACAACCAACTTTTAATGCAATGAGGTTATAATAAAATAAAGCTATGTATTACCTACACAATAATATCTATTACAATTATTATAGGTTTACATTTACTTGTATCTTATAGTAAGACTACTTTTAGTATTTAAAAGTATACATTATAAAAATATATTGGTATATATCTTATCAATATAGGAGGTTATCATAGTCAATCGAGAAGCAGATTGCTAAGACTACAACTATTAAAAAGCATGGCGTAATAACAAGAAAATAGAATAATTGTTTCCAAACATTTGCCATTTCTACTTATTGTTACTGTTCTGATTTCAATGGTTAGTTGTTTTAGTTATCTACAAAAGTTCATAAGTTGAAACTGGAGATATATCAAAAAAACATGTTAAGTAGCATCATAGATAGAAAGGATCGTGTCGTGTCAGTAATTATGTTACGTTCGTAAAATGATATAATTGATGAAGGTGAAACCGTCAGCTTGAAATGGGAGTGGGCATGTCGAATGCAAAAATATACCGAGTCTACAATCATGACTTGGTGAAACGAGGCACTTGAGCTATACGGAAGAATAGACGGAAGGGCTTTATATAGCAGTGAGATGTTATGTAAGCCACTAAAAATAATAATTGATGACTAGCAATTATTATATTTAGTAGTCAGTCATACGTACCATTTTTATTCTTTCATATTTAAGGTAACTATGTGCAACAAAGGAAATAGATAGATAGATAGATCTATCTATCTATCTACAAAGGAAATAGGAATATTTGTAAACGGTACTCTGACCAAATTTACGATTTGTTGTACTGTCTGCATATGGTCGAACCATAGGAATAGAATCAAATTCTGTCCCATCAGAGCAAGTCTATGTAATGTAGAAGTACTTAATTATAACAATCATTAAACAAGTAAAAAATTTTGTAAATTATTAAATAAAAAAAAAAAATTTCAAATCTATGAGAGCACAGCACTAATTAATAGTATTTTGTTGACGAGATTCTTTAATACTTAAAAGTTTGTTTAGACATATGACATGGTTTAGCATGATTATACAGGTGTATCTCTATTTAATCACATAATTATTCTTTATGAATTGAAAATAAATAGGAATTTCTAAGAATAGTTTATACCATCAAATTATGATCTAATATTAATATATATGATTGTATTTAATACATTCTTAATTATGTACCTTTAAAAATGTTTTGACTAACTGTCAGTTTTTCATTAATGCGTAGGTATGTTTTTATTTCTATTGGAACATTATATATTACACTGTATAATAATGTAAACCATACAAGTACATACAATAAGCATTAATTTACAACAGTATTACAACATTTTGTTGTAACCTTAATACTTAAATAAGCACAGTTACTATTATTACTATTTCAGGCTTAGAACTAATATAAGTATAAAATATGTTGCAGTCAAAACTCTTAACCAGTCAAAAATACTATTGACTAGCAAAATCAGTCAAACATACTTTTGACCATATGCTTTAGTCAATAATACTTTTGACTAAAATAACAGTTAAAAGTACCTAACCTAACCGAAAATTTGCAGTTAAAAGTACTAATAACCAATAATTTTTAGTCTAAATCGAATTGACCAACCTGTTCAGTCAAAAGTACTTTTGACTGGTTAAGAGTTTCGACTGCAACATATATAATAATCAAAAGTTATAATCATTAAAAATATTTTGTGCAACCAAATTTAATATTGAATTTGTATATAAATGAGATAATTATAAGAGATATACAAAGAATATATTTATGTAACGTGTTTAGTAGTATTGTCTTCTTTACCAGCTTCCCATATCAATGTATTAATTTTTATTTTAATATTTAAATTCATTCTTTTGGAGATACATTGTACATTATCAAAACACTTATGAATGTGAATTTATAAAAATTACTACACACACGTTGAGCGATCATTTTAGAAATAGAAACGACGCGATCTGTTGTCAAATGTTTTCCATTACTTGTTAGTCATATTTTCATTATCACAAATATCATCCCTATAGTTGATATTAATCTATTTTCCTTAGGCATTGTGACGATAATGTTTTAAATAAGAAATAATATTTAATCTACAGAGTATACGTTATGTCGTACAATTTTATAATAACATTGTTATTTTCATTTATCTCTATTTTAGCTTAATGTTCATCACACTTAGAATCACTACTTACTAATATTATTTGGCCAAGCTCTGTGCACTGAGCTTTAAATGATGTGCACACTATAACTATGTATATTTTCACTACAGTAAAAAATATGTATAGAAAATTCCAAGCAATCGCGTTGTTCCTAAAATTAACAGCAAAAATTGTTATAGATGAAATATTATAATCCTTAAAAATAAAATTGATGATTCAAACATCATAAATGTTACGTTTATTGGTTACCAGTAACATATAAGAAAAAAGTAATTTATTTTAAGATCGTTTATATTTATTTGTTTATCTACACCGTCAAAGACTTGGCGTGAAGGTATAGAAAATGTTTGAGTATTATTATTCACCAATAAACCGTAACTATCAATTATACTTGTGAGTAATAAAAAATAATTAAATAAGTAAATATTACAAATTCAACAGGAGTACAACAATACTATTTAAAAAAGCAAGTGCAAAACTTATAAATTTAGTATGCATAATACTACCACCTAAAAAAAATATATATAAAAAAGTTTTCATCTCTTCATTGTAAAATTTCATATTTTATCAAAAAACTTTAAAGACTTAAATTATAATAAATGAATTATCATTAAACTTAGTATTACAATACGCAAATCTATGGACGTAGAAATAATTGCAGTGTAGTTATTCATAATATTGAAGCCTCTACACAGCATTCTATTTACAGCATCCCTGGTCTGTCAGATTCTTGATTACCAGATTTTTCAAAGAACATAAAATCCTGAAATAATTTTCATTATATATATATATATATATAATACACACATTTTAAATACATATAGGTACCTATATAGTACATATAAGTACATTATTTTATTTTTACACTAATAGCAATGGTAAGGTGAATACAGCATCTATTTTATATTTGGAGATGTTTTAAAAGGGATGCTACTACCCATCCTCCATCCTAGCCTTTTACGTCACCCACGGGCAAGGAAAGGATAACCTATTCTATGCTGAGATCACACGGCAAATAAGATAAAACACTAAATAAATTCCTAATATAATAAATTGTTAGATCGGCCGCTCGCAATTCTGGTCCTGGAAACTGGAATATTATTAATTAAATTCTTATATATAATTACTTACTATTAAAAAGCATGCTCCAAGTAAAACAGCTTTAATTTTTACATCCAAATCCATTGGAAAGGATATACCAAAGTGATCAGCATCTGTGAAAGCTTCTCTAGCAAGCCCTGACCATTTTTTTATTATTTTTCCAACTTTAGTTTCGCCATCTTTTGAGTAAACCTGTAATTAAATAATAATGTTGAAATATTTTAGTGATGCCATGTAGTGAGAATTTAATAGTAAACATTAGGGCATAATGGAAGTCATCATCATCATCATATCAACCTTTAACTGTCGACTGCTGAACATAAGCCTCCCCCTTGGGGTGTTTTGCCAATAGTTGCCACGCTTGGCAGGCGAATTAGCAACTGCAATCAGGCTTTAGAGGTGTTTAAGAGGGTTGCTGCTGCCCATCCCTTGCCCTCCCTTAGTCGGCTTTAACGACACCCATGGGAAAGGAAGGGATGGCCTATTGTATAATAATAATGGAAGTAAACCCTATTAATTGCAAAAATAATCAAGTTATAGAATAATAATTATCAGTTGTAAATTAGACAATAATCTTAATTTTGTTTTTGCTTTTATGGTACACGTAAGAGCGAACATTAAAAGTACATCCACTTTGCATTTGAACTATATGCATTAAGTACTTTTCTATATCCTTTCTAATCTATTAATTACATTTATATATTTAATGTAACATGTTTATGTATGTATGTATGTATATAATGTATGAGTATGTAGTTCCATCTCTATTCTTTTTTCACAATTTTCTAAAATACTTGTTATAAAGTAGTATAGACACAAAAACATCTTTACTAATATAAATGTGTAAATGAGTTAGTTTGTTACCCGTTAGCGCCTTAATGGCTTAACCAATTACTAAGAAATTTGATAAACACATACTATATGAGATAGAGAAGGTTATAGGTTACTTTTTATTCTAGTCAGTGAATATATTCTAGCCACATTGACGAAGTCACAGGTAAAAACTAGTATTATTTATATTTCAATATAAATATACGAGGTTTGTCCGGAAAGTACGTATAAAAGTTTTTTAAAAATTTTATTTTACAATTATTCAGGTAAATCAATTTTATCCCCTTCAAAGTACTCCCCTTGTGACATAATGCACTTGTGCCAACACCGTTTCCACTGTGAGAAGGCTCCTTGAAAGTCCTCTGGTTGTAGGTTTCTCAGCTTTATGTCCCCCAAATGCCGCCCCCGAAGTACCAATTTGGTTTTTGGGAACAAGAAGAAGTCACACGGGGCCAAATCCGGCGAATAGGGGGGGTGTTCGGTCACCGTAATGGAATTTTTACTTCACGGACAACAAGAGAGGTGTGGGCAGGGGCATTGTCGTGGTGAAAAAATCTGCTTTGAGGCGTCGAGCACATCGACGTAGAATTTTCCATCAACTGTCTGGCCTGGAGGGACGAATTCTTGATGGACAATCCCCCGAACATCGAAAAAAACAATTTTCTTTTTAGCCACTTGTGGACTTTTTCATTAAACTGTTCTGAGATCGGCAACAATTTCACGGAATATTCTTGCCTGCGTAGAGAAACTACGCGCTGCTCTTCAACGGAAGCATGCCGTTAAGAGGTAACTGACAAGCCAGGTTAGGGACATAAGGAAGGGGTCCTGCGCTTATCGCATTCCAGAACACTTTTATACGAACTTTCCGACAGACCTGTACAATAAAGATATAGAAAATAATTGAGAATGTACACTTTCTTTAGTCGGTAAAAAATCTGATCGTTACTTTTCTAGTTTTTTTCTTTTTTTTTTATTGGTAGAAAATGGAATAGCCGCCTGCGCTAACGGGATACGCTGGCGGGGCACCAGTGAAGGGTGATCGATGAGGATGATAACAGGCCAGTTAACCCATCATGATGAATTTATCAGGAATTAATCATGATAGTTTCCAGGGGGAACCGTGAAGAGGTCGACCTGGTTGGGTATATTGCTAGCAATGGGATTCTCAATTTTCATTACTAACAATCCCTTTCCCCCCACTTTTCTATAGTTAATAAATAAGTATAATCAATATTTAATGAACATACGTAAAACTTAACGTCTCCGCAAATAGAGAATGTGCAAACGGGTCCTTTAATCCTAAGCACAACGTCGCCAACTGCGTTCTTAATAACATAGCACGGTTTGCAAATGGACCACTCCTGTTCAATTGAACCGATGACAGTGCCAGGTGGCGCTGTTACTTCCATACTCTGTAGCCAACACGGGCACCAGCACGAATCACATGCTAGAGGTCGATGAAGGTGTATAACCTGAAAATGGATTAAAATTGTGCATTTAAAAAAAAATTTTAACCACAGCTATATAATATATAACTAAAATTATACAATTCTCTAAGAATACAATATAATAACGCGTTCCGGGTATTATGGGGACTGCCTCGATTGTGCAATGCATTGGGAGTGTTTGCAGAAATGCTTGTGTATTGTTTCTACACCATTATTTGTAAGCAATCTTCGTCACTCTGCAGAGTCTAGGCCAGCTCCAACTGCGTTCTAGCCATGTTATCAAATAGGCTAGATTCTTTTTACATGAACCATTGCGTTGTGTTGCATATTGTTAAGGACCCAGCTATAATTAATTAGTAAAATATGGTTTTATTATTTCAGCCGTCAACTGTCCACTGCTGGACATAAGCCTTCCCCATAGGGGGAGTTTTGCTAGTAGTTGCCTAGACCGCAGTTAGGCCTTTGAGAATGTTTTGAGAGGGATGCTCCTGCCCATCCCTCGCCCTCCCTTAGTCGCCTCTTACGACACCCACAGGAATGTAAGGGATGGCTCATTCTATGCCGGGGTACACACGGCGACAAATATAGTATAATTGTAATAATTTGTAAAATATAAAAAGTGGATCCTGGCAATTTTAATAAAGAATATATTATTATAATTATTATAAATTTAATTGGCATTTGTAGGCCGATTTTACTGCATAAAAATTGTGTCCAAATTATAACCAACTAGTAATTTCAGTATTTATTTATTTATGTATGTATTCTTGTATAAGGTATGTGTAGAAGCTCTGGTTACATAGCTCGAAGAACCGACAACTGATGGGGACTAAAGGTTCTTGAGTAGCGAACCCATACATGCAAACGCTGTATAGGACGATCTCCACTAGATGGAGTGACGACCTCAAGTGCATTGCGGGGAGTCAGTGAATGCAAGTGGCTCAAGTCCGTTCTTAATGGCAGTCTATGGGGGATGGCTTATGGGGTTCAGCAGTGGACGGATAGTGCCTGAGATGATGATGATAATGACGTGTACAAGACGGATTTAATGCCAAAATCATTCTTTCTAAATCAAACACAGGGAAGCGTTAAAATGCGGTACTAGTATTAACTGATATATATGTATATAACAGAGTAAACTGTTTCGTCCATCATGCGTTGCCATTCCTGAGGACTCAGGTGTTTTTTTATAGGTGATAATGGAATGATAACCCCACCCGCGCTATCGGTATACACCGGCGGGACACCAGTGAAGGATGATAGGTGAGTAGACGAATACAACAAGAATTGTCCACGATGATTTCCAGGAGGAACCACGTGGAGGTCGACCTAATGGGGCATATTGCTAGCAATGGGGCTGACAAACTCCATTGCTAACGATCTTTTTCCCCCAGGACTCGGGTGTTATTCCTGTACCTGTTTTCCTGTTAGGTGTACCCTGTAAATTCACTGCCATATCCCAACCTTCATACTGAAACACAGCCATGCAAACAGAACTGCTTCACGGTAGAAATATGAATGGGACAGTTTCAAACAAACGACTTTTGTACAAAGTCTCCCTTTGGCAATTTAATAATGATTAACATTTTAATAATAATCTACATCAGTGAATTTAACTAATTGTTAGTTTTATTAGAGCAATTTCACTTACCTCATTTCGGTAATTATCGAAAATTTTCATATCGAATGGGCGCATCGGTCCACAGCAGTTTCTAGTGCAGCAATCGTTGTCTTCGACGGCGTAGTATACTTTTTGGCCGATACTATTCATTATAGTATATTTATTATTCGTTTCGAATCCTACAAAAGATTCCAGCAGCTCCACTTTCTGACGCAAAAGGAGTTGATCAATCAAGGACAAGTATTCCAACCCTGGCGGACAGTTGCTGAGGCCTTGTGGAATAGCCATCCAACCACCTGCAGAAAAATATTAATAAGTGTAAAATTACGAAATTCAGCACGGTTTTAATTCTAGAACAGTAGGTACAAATCATGACTCGCTAATTACAATGGATGGGATGGAGAAGGACATAGGTAGCCTATGTCTTTTTTATCATACATATCATAACCAGTAAACATCTTCCGGTCACGCGGACGCGAAGTCGCGGGTAAAATCTAGTAAACTATAATGAGATAAGCAATAAGCTGAGTAGATATTATATAATAATTATGAATGTAATTCGGATTTTGAAAGTGTCTGACAAACAAAAAATGCGTATCGTTCTTGCGAAATTTCTGTTTCGTATATAGATAATATCAGGAAAGGCAATGACGATGGATGAAAAATCATATACCTTGTAATCACCAACGTTTTAACTGATGTATACGAAAAATCTCGTATGTATACAAAATACTAATAATATTTAAAGTTGGTAATATATCAGAAAAAATATTTATAATCAACAACAGTAACAATAATCTGGTGAAGAGAATATCACTATTTTATTTTGAAGATAAAATAATTTGTGTATTGTCATGTAGTTTCATATAATGTTCAATATAGAGCTATATTTATCATGTATTTTAATGATTTATATACAAACAAACGTACCTAAATACCTACTATATTGTCATTAGTTTATGATTTTAAATTATTAAGTAAACTTTTTAAAAAATATAACATACGTAATAACTTTTATTTGTGAAGGTAAAACCAAAACCAGAAAATAAAAATAAAGACTTTTATTCACCGTTAGAATGCTATTACCTAATTGTATTAAATTATGTTATTATCAATGTTAGTGTTTACGACAAGGTATAATTATATATGCATTTGGGTTAATTATAGGAACGTATCGAAAAAATTTTATTAAATTTTTTCAATAAAACTGTATCTGTCTATTATATTTAAATTAAACCTTTTTTCTTCATCTGACAAAAACTTTTCGTATCCACGATTTTTAAAATTGAAGATATTTTTATATAATCGACACAATGATCTTTTTACACTAGCCACACTTAGAGTTTCAAAATAAACACTATTATTTTTTAAATTCATGTGTGAACACTTTTTAGACAAATAATGCTTAACATTATTCCACTTTATTGTGTCGAGGTGGTTTGATGTGTTTTGGATTTCGTATATTTCTTTGTCAAGTATCTCGTAGTTATTAACTGAAGTAACTTTCTTGGATACAGTCCACATTATAATTAAATGGCAATTTTTTTTTTCGCTTCAGAACACCTTACAAAGCAAAAGAATGTGAGAGAATATAATGATGTTCTAGTATTATTCCACCAGCACAAAGTAATTATAACATTATCTATCAACACCGTTGAAGTAAATAACTTATTTATTTAAGTAAATATGCGATGCAAATAGGGTTAGCATTACAAATAGCAATAACCTATTCATCTACATATATCATAAAAATATTGTATTCCGCCGGTTTGGTGCCTTGTTAAGAGAAAATGACTAATAGGATCTTAACGAAATACGTAGTATACATATATAACTACCTACCTTCTGTTTTATCAGGATTTGTTCAGTATATACTAAGATACAATTTGATTCCTTTATTGAAGAAGTCTCATGACATTCATGACATCTATTTTCTTGTTTTTTATTTATTATATTTTGCGATTGTGAAATTATGTTCGATCGTGGAAAACGGAAGTAGTTGGGCAAGGCTTTTGTCCAGCAGTGGAACAGAACATTCTATTAATAAATAAAACAAAAAACCTGTACTAATGTTATTAAATTTGGTATACATAGATTAATATGACTTAATCTGTCTACGCAAACAAAATCACGAGTTACAACGGATATTGTAATCTTAATATTATAAATGCGAAAGTTTGTAACAATGGATGGATGTTTGATATTATTTTACGTTAAAACTACAAAACGAATTTGGTACACAATAAAGTTATTATGCTAACTTAGCACATAGGATACTTTATATACCGATTCACGCGGATGGAGCAACAGGATATAGCTTAGTATATAATAGTATTATAATATAAATTTATCAGTCAAGTTCCAGTTTTTAGTAGGGTTCCGTTACTATGTTAAAGTAAACGGTAGTTCGTTACCGCATGCATGTTTTTACGCATAAAAAATCGAGAATCCTTATGAAAGTGCAATAAGTAGGTACATAGTATTTTTGAGAATGCTAAAAGTCGGCTCCAATTTTGGATATCGTTAGCAGTTGTTCGGACTTTGTTTAATTTATCTATTATATATTTAATTAATCTGTTTCGGGTAAGAACGAGTAATACGGAAATTCCGTAAGAACTTGAGAATCTGATGGGAATCAGGTTTAGAGTGCTAATTAACTATAAATATTCGGGGGGAAAGGGATTGTTAGTAGTGGGGTCAAATAGCCCTATTACTAGCAATATACCCTGTCAGGTCGACCTCCACGTGGTTCCCCCTGGACCATCGTGACTAATTCTAGTTTAATTCGTCAGGATGGGCTAACTGACCTACTTTCATCTTCATCTGTCATCCCTCACTGGTGCCCCGTCAGTTATACACTGACGGGGCTAATAGCGCAGACGGGGTAACCATACCATTATCACCCATAAAAAAAATATAAACATTCGAATATCATTAAAAATAACTACGAGAAATTAATTGAGGATGACTAATACTTAAATATGTCACTTCTTAATAGCATCGTTTTAATTAGACGTTTTCGGCATAGATATATTTTCCATATCAAGTGACCAAAAGTAGACCCCTTTTTATCTTCAGAAAGTAAGAAAGTACAATACACTAGAGCAAGGAAAATAAATGTCGAAATAAATCCACATATTAAGCTGGTTGGCTGTTATGATAATACTGTACGAAATTCTCTTCTTATGAAAAGGGACCCATATCTAGCAGCGAAATGTTAATGGGTTCTAAACGATAAAATTGTTTGTGAGAACCCTATTATGAATATTGTATTGTTCAACTGTCAACATCCTTATCTATGCAACATGTCGTTAACTTAAGAATCTTAAACATGAAAAGTACATACAAATATCATCTGCAAATATACCATACATGTTATTTTATAAAATGATATCTTACATATCTAAATATAAAAGCATAATTATATTTTAATACTAATTATTAAACCCAAATGACAAACTGTATAAATATTTAACGTATGAGTTTAGTTAAATCAGATGCCACAATAGTTTCCAAGGGGAAGGTAAGTGGAGGTCGACCTGAAAGGCTATATTGTTTGCAATGGGGAATACAGTTTATTTAGTATTATTGGTGTTATTGAATATCCTCCGATCTTTTTTAAAATACGAGATAAAAATGGAATGGTAATCCTGCCTGAGTTAATGGTATACACTGGCGGAGTACCGGTGAGGGATAGATGAAGATGAAGTTACGTTAGGTGGCTTATTGCAACTAAATCACCAGGATTACCTGTAAAATTGATATTCATTCTAGAACATGCGTTTCCAGTAACGGTATCAATTAGCGAAACTAGAATATGTGACAAGTTTCACAACCATAACTTATGACGTAAATGAGTGACGTAATTTTCGTAAATGTTAAAAGAATGTGCTTTTGCACTTTGGTAACATCGCCGACCGTATCCAATAGCGAGGATGAGACTCCTAGATAACAAATCTACTCAACTATACAAAAAAAAAAAAAAAACACTAAGAAGTGTAGAGATTGACCTGACAGAGTACAAGAAGAGGCTCTTAAATCCCATTACTGGCAATCTCCCACTTCCTTTCTGACTGTTACATTAGATATACCCATAAGAATGTTTGTGATCTGATTAATAAATAGGCAGACCGGGGAACATAATCAGAAAATGATAATATGGGAGCGTGATCATTCTCAACAATGAGGGCAATGACGCTAAGAGGAAGATAATAAAACAATAATTCAATTTTAATGTTAATTCGCGACATGGCTACTCATAACAAAAGTCTCGGCACTAGTCGAGTATTTGATAAAAATATACTTACGTAAATCAGGTTATTTTTACAATTATATCTTTTCGATACTCAACGAAATAACACGCCAATGATATCCAACACAATACTATTTCTTACTAAATATATTATATGTTACATACTTGCATTTTACTCGCTAAAGGTTTTCCTACTTTTAAAACTATGCGTAAGGACGCATAGTTTCAAAAGTAGGGAAACCAATAAAGTAGGGCACTTCTGGAAGGTATATCAAGGTAAAATGTAAATCAGGTTTTAAGGTAGATCTTCAGGAACATATTTGTGAAAACCGCATATAATTTGGTGCAGTAATATTTGTATAATGCCGGAACAACCCTACAGACAGATAGACGAAATCTATAAATTTTTTAAATAGTTTTGGCTTCTTACTAAAACACCTCATTTTAATTTTTCTTAATTATCTTCCACATACAGACTTTGTCTTGTTACAATTTTATTACATTAGTAAGATGCGAAAGCTTGTATAAATGGATATTTGTTAATTTTTAACACAAAAACTACTGAACTGATTTAAATGAAATTTAGTACAGCAGTAGGAAATATCATAATTTAGCACATTGGATACTTTAGGTACATACTGATCCACGAGATACAACCAGTATTTATTATAAAAGTAAAAGTTTACTTAAGAGGTTTGTTACTAAACCACAGTTAAACAGGTGAACAGATTTTAATTGGAATAAAAAAAGAATTATCAGATAACCTGATAGAATTCTACAAAAATACAGGATGAATGAATAAATAAATAAAAACTTTTTATTGTTTCCCCTAAAACAATACAATAAAAAAAAATACACAAAAAAATCTTCATTACAAGGACCAAGGTAAGGAAGCAACAACAGGGGATCAATTTCTAAACTGATTTTTTCTAACAACTGTAAGATTGAGAGAAATAATTAAACTTGCATTATATGTTACTTTACCTGGAACACCTTGAGGTGCTGGTTGCTGAATGATTGGTGCAGGGTAACCCGGTTGCGGCTGAGGGTGAGGATAACCAGGAGCATAACCTGGTTGAAACCCTGGCTGAAAACCAGGTTGAAAACCAGGCTGGAAACCAGGCTGGAAGCCTGTTTGCATCCCAGGCAGGGGCTGGGCACCAGGTGGCAGCATTGGTCCAGGATGTGGCATTGGTACCGGAGACCTTGATGGTGGTCCAGGGTAGGCTGCTTGAGGATTCAGTGGATAACTGTCCTCCCCTTTCTCACCTTCAGGGGGTGGACCATATCCTTGACTTTGTGGAAAATTTGGAGAGTATGGCATCGGTTTGTGTGACATATTAAAATGGTTTTCTGAAAAGTATTTTATTGTTCTCATTAATACTATAAATATGAAAAAAAAAATTTTTTGCCTTTTTTGGCAACTTAAAGACATAACCAATAAAATTTGGTTTTTTTCAAAAAATTAATTTCTTTTAAATTATGAATTTCATACAATATAAAAAATGTTTATTATATATATATACATTATTATAGTACATTACAACACAGTATAGACAACAGGATTTTACAACCTTAGAAAACATAATTTAAAAGTAATCATCAATTATAATTATTAAATAGACATTACTCCAAAAACTCTCTCCTTTAATTTATTAACTAAGTATAAAATGTTAATTGTCATATGCACAATACTATAACGCGCAGAATATACCTAATTGCAGCTTCTGTTGTTTAATCTAGGGTATATTAAGTTTTATGTGATTAATGTTTTATGCATGCTTCAAATGAGTAACATTATTTAACTAGCTTTTTCGTTTCAAAACAAAGAAACTAAAATCCATTACACATTAGAACAAAAAATTTTAGTACCAATTAACTATCATAGGGTTGTGGTTCAATTAATAACCCCGCCCTGAAATGTTGTTATTTATGTATGAAATACTATTAACAAAGCTAAAATTAAGGTTTATGAAACATAATCCAAGTCAATCCTAAACTGAATTTAATAAGGTGGTAAATATTTAAGAAATAACTACTCACTAATATAAAAAAAAGTATGTACTTCATATCGGTAAAACATACAAAAATAGATTTACCGGCCCGAATGTTGCTCAATGTTATTTTAGACAATAAATTGTAGAAAAATATTTTGTAAATTTGATTATATTATAACTTACCTCCAATCTTTTATATGTCAATTATAGTGAATCAGGGCCTTATTTTCTTTAAAAAATGTGAATAATGAATATAAGGAAAATTTATTTATTTAGATTAAAATGTCAATCACTTAATAGGTCGATAATTGTCAGTCAACTCTATGGTTGTCTTGTCAGTTCCATATGAATTTAAAAATCGTTCTGAACTAAACTTTCCGACTAGGCCGTATAAAATTCAAAATATCAAAATCTGGATTATCAAAATATTAAATATCAAATTTTGGACTTTTTTTTTTAAAACAACAACAACCAAACTTTATGTGAAAAATATGTACTTGTTGTAGTCTAAAATTATTATCGAAAAAACAGAAAACAGATTGAGGCAGATTACATCATTTATGACAGGTAATAGTTAACATAGACGTCGTATAACATACTGGTAGTAAATTAACTTCAAAATTGTTATTTGACTTTTAAAGATAGAGAACGATTCACATGAATTGAATAGTCTTAATAATATATAATTCACACAGTTTTCTTTTATTTCGCATACACCATCCAATTTCGATTATTGTTTGTATTATTAGTTTATATTAACTTAATAAAAACTAAAAGGAAAATATAATAAAAAATAAAATAATCACAAAGTAACGGGTTACCTATGATATAACTATTATGATATGATTTTACTTACAAACGTGTAGATCTAGCATTACGACTCTGAATTAAGTTCTTTTTAGTATTTCCGAACGAACGGCAATGCCGACAACATATAGCAATCAACAACAAGGTGTTGCTAGATGTTAATTATAATTTAATCAGATGGGAAATTTAACATTAAAGCCGGACATAGCAATGGGTTCAATGGTTAGAACTGCAGTGTTTGAAATTTCTAAGTGCTGTGTCATGTTAATTTCTTTGGCTTAACTGTTTTATGAACTTATAAATAATGCAGGACCAAATTTTATTTCAATTTACATTGTCTGACTTAATAGGTTATAAATAAGACTGTAAATAATTTATATAAAATTGCCGGCAAAATATTTTATATATATGGCGACACTAGTATCCGGTTGGTACAATTTTCCATTCACCAATCACACCATTGCAATAAAGTGCATTGACCAACCTGCTGTTGCTGTCGACCGATTTTAGCAGGGATTGAATCAGTTGAATAGATGTTTGCTTCCGCGTTTATACTTCGAAGTGACTAGCTTGGCACCGCGATGCAGCCCGAGTCATCCGAGTTGTTTTGCTACTCATTATTCAACTAAAATGGCGTCGCTGTTTATCAATTAGTTTGTTAAAGTGAACCTTCCTCAGTGATCGCATCCGAGTGAGTCATAAACCGTCATAGCAATGACATTTTTATAGCACACAGTGAGAATACGTTTAGAAAACGTTTCGTGGAAGACTAGTTAGTGTGATTTACAGAGCACAATAATGCGCGAATTCAAAGTGGTCGTGCTGGGTTCGGGTGGGGTCGGGAAGAGTGCTTTGACTGTGCAATTTGTGTCAGGATGTTTCATGGAAAAATATGACCCCACAATAGAGGATTTCTATAGAAAAGAAATAGAAGTGGACAATTCACCATGTGTTTTAGAAATTTTGGATACTGCCGGCACAGAACAGTTCGCTTCGATGCGGGATTTGTATATAAAAAATGGCCAAGGCTTCGTCGTAGTATATTCACTAACGAATCACCAAACGTTTCAAGACATCAAACCGATGAAGGAATTGATAACACGCGTCAAAGGTTCAGAACGCGTACCTATATTGCTCGTCGGCAACAAGGCAGACTTGGATCATCAGCGCGAGGTTTCACAGGCGGAGGGCGCGGCACTGGCACAGATGTGGGGCTGCCCTTTCGTGGAGGCCTCTGCTAAGAGCCGCACGAACGTCAATGAAATGTTCGCTGAAATCGTGCGTGAAATGAACGTTAGCCCTGAAAAGGAAAAGAAACCTTATTGTTGTTGTACAGTGCTTTAATATTTAGAGTGTAATGTGGCATTTATTTCTCGTAAGACTGCAAAGACGAGGCGGGAGTGTGTCCGCCTCGCCCTGACGGCCGGTTGCCTCCAGTGGGGCGGTCGACGACGGCGCGCCGGCCGCGACTGCTGGACCCATGGCGGTCGCGATGCGCGTCATATCATGTTGTTAATATCTTTGATACATACCATTGTCCAATCGAGGTGCTTTATCTTATATTTTCATACTTTAGTACTGGTAGATACTCCCGCAGTAACCATTATCATATAATATGAACAAAGTATCCTATTTGGGGAGCTTAAATATTGCAAAAGACCATATTAATTAGTTTGATTTTCGTCATCATAAACAGAGATGCATGCAAAAGATGTTGGAATAAAGAAAACATGTATTGTAAAGTAATATTAGTCAACTTGTATATAATTTCATGAGATTAATGATGTCGGAGGACATGGACGGTGTAGAGAATTTAAAAAGCCATCCAAATAATATGCAATAAACTTAAATGTGTAGAGTGGAGTGAGATGAGTAAGAGTTTACACCTAAGTCATGTCACAGACTGTGTTTTATTGTGTAAATTATGTTTATATGAGAAATCAGTAATCAAGGAAATACAGTAAGAATTGTCAGTTGCGTGATTGTGTTTTAAAAGTCTACCAGGATTTGTGATAATACATTATAACAAAGTATCTATAATAAAAGTTTTAAGTGGGAGATTAAAAAGTGAAGTTTTATTCTTCAGATTCAAAGGTAAACACACTATTTTCATTATTACAATACACATTATTGGTGCAAAATATTTTATTACAAAAAAATTTTGATTTAATTATATTATGATATTACATATTTACTAGTTCCGTCACACATGAGCAGCAGCACAGGAAATTCAGTATTATACAATTATATCAATTCCAATCATGACCTCTATATTACTATTTAAGTAATATTGCTACAGTTCAAACTAAAATCTGGTAACATATTTTAATGATATGTTGTTTTTTATGCAATTTGAAATAGCTAATAACTGCCCTGCTGATGGAAGAAATTACCATTCCTAGCAATTATAATATTATGTCGCAATGCACTGCAATTTTTTTGCCTAGATTATACAGGTAGAGTGTCTCTATAGAAATGCTTCAAGAGAAGCCGATCAACTTTTTTATACAATTTTGAGTGATAAATAGTTATGAGTGATTCTTTTATAACTTCCGTATTTATTTTGTTTTATAAATTTTGCCTTTTTATTGTGCAAAAACTCATTTTAATTATTAAATAATTGAATATTGATCTTGAAGTATCAAGATACATTATTTGCATAAATATATAGAACATTAATAAAAAAAAAATGAGTCTGGTATTGGAAAATTAGCTGACAAAAAGTTGACCCATTTTTGAGGGTTGATGCTCTATCTATATAATCTAAGTTTCTCTGCTATATCCTATCCTTCAAATTGAAAACAAACATGTAAACATGAGTAGGGCAGACATGATTAAAAGCAGACAAATATTGTAAATCTAAAGTTTCTGGTGAAATATATGCATTCATAGATGCTTATTCAAAACAACCCTATATATTAAATATGTATATTCTTATTTGGTTTGAAATATTAAAATTTTCATGTTTCTTCAGACAATTCTACTGGATCTACTGAACTGATTTAGGCATAATTTGTCATGTTAAAAATCTTAATATGTATAATACAATGCTCCACATTTTTTAAGAAATGCAATACTGCTACATTTTATTAAAATCAGTACCATTTTTGTGTCAGATATATTTGCTGTACTTAATAACAAAATTTAAATAACAGTATTTTTACCCAACATTTAATTTTTCTTGTAAATGTATAAGTTAATGTTTTATATCATAGTGGGTAGGTTTTAATAACGAAATTTAGATAGCAGTATTTCACCCAACATTTAATTTTTCATGTAAAAGTTAATTTTTATATCATAGTGGGTAGGTATCAAATTTAATCAATATACTAAGATATGCATTAGTATATCTTGTATTAATTAGGAAAAATAAAATTTTATTTATTAAACAAAAAGTATAATTAATGTGTAGTACAAATATTATATTCTCTACAAATTGCACTATTTTAGTATGACCTAGTAAGCAATTGATTGTAAGGACAAGTTTTATATTTTATTTGGTTTCATTTGCTATAAGAAGTATCTTGGGCTCATAACCTCTGAATTATGAAGGTAAATTTATAGAAAATTATAGGTAGGTAGTATATATAAAATTATAGGTAGATAGTATATATAAAATTATAGGTAGGTAGTATATATAAAATTATTAATTATGTAGGGTAAGATACCATAAGAATTGATCAAATACTTGTTATTTTTTTTTCTGTAGAAAGTAGATATTACACAGTATTTATCATATTCCTTAATAGGTCTATTTTGTTGAAACTATACATTATGTTGAATCCATTAGTAGATAGATAACAATGTGGCTATATAGAAAATAAAAAGTGAGTTTGTTAGTAATGATGACTAATGTAGTCTAATGAAATGTAAATTTACATTTTTAAACAATTTTAGACTTGGATAAGTGAGCACTTTTATAATATTACTATGGATTTTATTATTATGTAATGCAGTAATGAAAGCAATGAAAGTATATGAATTGAGAAACACTTTTGAAGTATGTTAAAAATAATATTCAACATGTATATCATATTATATATATTAATAAGACCATCGACACCATACAATATAGTATTATGTCGATAGTGTCTCTCATGTTACTCCTGAGAACTAAAGTGTTTGGCATCTGTAGTCACTAATATCTTTTTATTCTGCAAACCGAAATATATCTATGTAAGCACAGCTGTTTGGCGACATAAACACAATCGAGTTTGAAAATGAAAGTATATTCACACGTAACTTTCGAGATTCGTAATTAAACGACAAGAAAGGAACCCTTAAGAATGTAAAGAGAAGTCTTCGTGTTTGTTCACATCTCTGTCTGCTTAGGTTGTTCATGTGTGACATAATTTTTTTTATACAACTTTAGTGGCAATCAAACAAGCAAATGGCCCGTCTGATAGTGAACAGGCTTACCATAGACCATGGATGTCTGTAACACCAAAGATGTCACGCGCGTTTTGCCAGTCCTAAAGAAACCCTAATACGCCCTTTTTGAAGAACCTCATGCTGTAGTTTCTAAGAAAAGCCTCGGCAGGAAGATCATTCCACAATCTGAGTGTTCGTGGGAGGAAGCTGTTTTGAAATTGTTCTGTTTATTATATGTTTATTATTATACACTTATTGAAGTCCGATATTTATGATACTATTATGCAGATTTAAAAAGCGATTTTCATAAAAGTTGTATAAGAATTGAAAAAAGTAGAGGCCTAAATCCTAATGCACTGTCAGATAAAAAAAAATTGTTACGTCATACTTAGTAGCAAATCGCTTTAATCTATAAAAATCCCGTGTTAAGATGTTAATCTCCGAAACTGCTACTGATTTTAATAAAATTTTGTAAATTTGTATTATTTGTTCCAACTTAAAGGGATAGGATAATGTTATCCTTATAAGATAAAATGAACCCGGTAACTGACGGTAGGGGGCAGAACAATGTTTGCCAGTTCAGGTATGACTTTTTATTTGCTGTTATTTTTGGGTGATGTGATAAATGCTCGAGGAGGCTCTTTTCTGGGAGTTTTTGAGCTACTACATATGTAGGTATAAGTATGAAGATTCAGAATTTAAACAGTCGCTTTCTCTTTTACTTTGAAAGGCTAAATATTAATATTTTTTACTAATATTGTAAATGTGAATTTGTTTTTTCTAGGCGACTTACCGGCTTAACAAATTGTCATGAAAGACATGATAAAGGACAGGTAGGCTACTTTTATCTCGGTCACGCGGACAGCTAGTTAACACTTCTGTACTATATTATAAAGAGGAAAGATTTGATTTTTAGTATTTTTGTTTGCAACGGAGAAACTCAAAAATTACTCGATCGATTTTAAAATAACTTTCACATATAAAAAGCTATATTATATGCGAGTGATATAGGCTATATTACATTATTTAAAAGAAAAAGTTTCCTACGAAAATTGAGATTCATGTAATCATTATAAAAATATGAGAACTTTAAAACAGTGTTATAAGGCCCTATTAGATAATGTGTATAAGATGTACCAAATGTTAGTATATATCTTCAATGCAGAGAAGTAAAAACTTAATATTTTGTCGTTGCTGGCCATTATTGGCTTTCATTAGATATCCTTTCGACAAACGTTATACGCAGGAGTTGAACGCTGAATACTAAGGCCGGTCTGTATTAGAGGACGTAAATAAAAAAATAGATGGAGAGTGTTATTTATGAAGGAGGAAGAGAATATCTACTAGAAATAACAACTGATAGAAATAGAAGAAGGAATAGATACTTTATTTATCAGACAATATAGGCATTTATAATGAGTGCATTATAATACATTTAAGAGTCTTAATTACGAATAAATTAAGTATAATTATCTTTTATAGGCGCGAATAGCTAAATAGACATAGTAGATTTAACGGGGCTGTCTCCTTACAGTAGTACTCGTCTTAGGCAAATGACTGAGCGCGCGCTCACTAGGCACTGCTAAACTGCAGTAGTTGTTGGACCGTAACGCGCGGTGCGCAACCATCCCCGGTTTCTAAATGCTGATCCAATTTTATTGCGATTATTTTATGCACAACTTCGATTTCTCTGTTCCTCGCGAAACGTATATTTTTACTAAATATGTTGCGTAAATATGTACTACCTAACAACTTATAAAAAAAAATTTTACTCATTGTATTGTATGTAGATAGTACAAATGCAACACTATCATAATCATTATCTATGATTTTCTTTTATCGCTATTATTAATCATGAAATAATATTTATTTGTAGAATACCTATGTGTTCAAGGCCAATGACGTAGGTACTTACCAGTTCTTATTAAATGCTTCGTACGGGAACGATATTATTATATTAAAGATAAACGGGCTACACTCACTCGAGCTACGGTCCACTGCACGACCTCTGAACTACCATAATGAATTACCTACCTATTGACAATCTATCGTTTTAGCTACAAAAGATAATTTTGTCGTTTGATTTTATTACCCCCGGAAGATTTAATGGAGACTGTAAAAGTTCACATACCTACTTTATAGTTGGTTACATACTAAGTTTCCTCTTCTGTGATAGGGCGGAAGTATTTTTTATCTGGATATTGTCGAGTTTAAGGCCATGCTTCGATTGCTCAGTCGTTTGATCGTTTCGTGCACTACTACTGTTTAGGTGCCGTTACTGGCCCAGATAGAGCTAATTCGCCCGGACGTTGACGTAGGGAGTTGTAATAGCATGTTTATTTCCCTGGGTTTCCGTCAGAGTTGGTCAGTGTCAATCTGAGGTGTCAACTGTTGAGTGACATTTATTTTCTGGCAATCCCATTTATTTTATTATCAGTAAGTACCTATGCAAAGTTACAGCGTAATTTACGCAATATCTATAGGTCACGGTAGTGGTTTCACTCTTGTCTTTGTTTTTTATAACGATGAAATTTATAATTGACTTCTGTATTTTAATAGTCAGAATTAATGTTTTAATGCCATAAGAAATAAAAACTTCAGTTTGGTCAAAATTAATATTAAATGAATCAGTACCAGTACGAGAATAATCTTTACTGATTGGTAAGTTCAAAATTAACGAGATATAACATACACACAAAATAAATATCATCGAATTACATGCATAATCATCATTAACTAATGATTCTTCCCAGCTTCGTACAGATAGATAGATATTAGAAAGAAATTAATATTTTATATTAGCTTTATTAGTTAAATTTATAGTACTTTACATAATTTTAATTTTCGTAGGAATTGCGAATGATTATGAAAATAATATATAGCTAATAATGTAGCTTTATACAGGTCAAATAATTTTTAAATTGGGCGAGTAGTTTTGAGTTTATCCGTTACAAACAGACAGAAATCTTCATAATACTAGTATAAATAAATATTATTATTTTCGGAGATACATTTCAACAATGTGTATAAAAATGCAATAAAAATAATATATAAAAAATGGAAGGATATGTTAGTTATTATTAATTCTGTTGTGTAGTACTACCACAGAGTAGGTATATTATTGTGGATTTGTGGTATACTTTTAGAACATTCACTAAACCGTAATTATTTCCCGTCATAATATATAATCTCGTAAACTGGTTCAATAAGAGGCGCAGCTGTCTTTGTATATATATACCTATTCTGTATATATATACAAAGACAGCTGAGAGTCTGTGTTTGTATATACCTATATAAAAGTTAGTCATAACATAAGAAAGAGTTAAATATTTAACAAGTTAGGTATGGAATAGCGGGTTATATATTTTGAATCTAATAATGATAATAAGACTAGGTATTCACACCAATATTCGACACAAAGCGGCTGGTCTAAATTTCCTACAGAGATTCTCGACTTACTCTCATATGGAGATAATACTCGTATGTGCAGTTGTAGGACATGGTTCATCGTCATTTAAGATAATTGATGTTCCTCTACAAGTCGAATAGGTGCCAGTCGTGAAGGGACATTACTTTTAGTAATATATACCTCTATGGTGCCACTATTAAGTTTTATTACCATTTAACGACCCGTTCCATACTCTCGTTCGTGTCTGAGGCTAGTTTAAAAGAGATTATTGTAATACACACTCCTGTTGGTACACTCAACAAAATTACTTACGTGTGTATACTTTGAAACGTGAACGTTCCTAAAAAATAATGAAATAATATGCACTAACTACTTACATATTCTCAGCGATTGTAAGTGGTTAAAATATGTTTAACTATGTAATCGAATAGGGATATATGTATATTTTTAAGAAAATTAGAATGGCAAGCCGTCAGTGTACCTGATGGATATTGGTATCATTATTATTAAGTATTACTACTTATTATTATAATCCTCCGCTTCCAGCCTAAGAATAGGCTTTACTCAATGTCTTACATTCAACCAACGCATTCTCCTGCTTTTTGCATGGTCCTTTTAGATCGGTGGTCTATTAAACAGGGATTTTTAGTAACCCCTGCCCTATCGTGACCACCTTTTTAACTAGGAATATATTTTTAATGGGTAAAAATATAATGAGTACCTTTTATCTGTGCTATTGGTACTTATACATTGACAAGGCACTAGTAATGGATAGTAGATGACGATGAAGGAAGGTCAATCAACCTATAGTGATTAATTTACCAGGAATTAACTTCTAATAATTAACCACGATGGGCCAACTGATCTGTGTCATTTCCACCTATCATCTCTCACTGGTGCCCCGCCAGCGTATTCCGTTAGCGCAGGCAGGGCTACCATTCATTATCATCCATTATAAAAAAAATACCTTTTCCTCTTCTTGACTAGGATTAGTAAAGCTGCCGTATACTGTAGGTCACATTATTCTAACGTCTGCAGTTTAGAAATTATGTCCTTAAGTCGCTCACGCTGATCAGCTGTCTTAATGAGGTATTAAAAAATAGAAGTGATTCTATGTTACATAGATGGAAATATGTCGGTAGTTATGGATATACCTGCTTCCAGTTATTTTAAATGTATATTTCATAATTACTGATGTATTTATTATTCAGATAAAAAAAACATATTAATAACTATTTGTTGCATTTATGTAAATGGTCAGTCGGATATAGTTTATATTTTCCCTACCCATGGTAGGTATATGCTGATAATATTAATTAGCTTTGGTTTGTTACTTTGTATTTGTTTTTGCTATTTGTATGCTCGTGTTTATAACGCTAATATATCTAGGTATATACCTATTTTTATTTTAATAAGCTAGTTGCATTTTGTCATATGATAATTGTACTGGTAAATCTCCAATAGAATTATAATTCTCGATAGATTCTGATCAAAAATACACCAATACAATAAGGAAAATAAATTGGACGTACATACTTTTCGGCCTTTGTTATTGTATGATTCATAGCTTCGTTTCTAAGTTTTTTATTATCAAAACAAAGTTTTATTGATAGAGTAACAATTAAAATCTTATTGCGTTATTAAAATTGTATTATATAGATAATGTAGAAATAGTCAAAAACCTTCACAAAGCTTTTTGAAAGATAGGCATTGTTATGCACATGTCGCAAGTTACGGCTTATATCTGAGGTAGGTAATTGTTTACGTTTGCTTTACCGCTACAATTGTTGTTGCTAATTATTCTAGCAAGGTGGTACCTGTGTCAAAATTTTTTATTTTTCATAGAAATGAGACACGTGTTGTTATACTAAGTTATGACTACACAAATTTTTCAGTAAAATCCGTTACTAATTTTTGCGTGCAGTGTACAAACCAACGGTGTACAGTGGTCTCTGGTACAGATATGATTTCTGTTACCGGCTATAGTTCTCGAACTCCAAGTGACAATATAATGAGTAATAAACAGACATTTCGCCTTTATTTGTTGGTTACAGTAGCCTATATATTGAACTGTGGACACTTGTAACAACAGTGACGCCACGTGCGCGATTAACCATTCCATCCTCCTGTAGCCGTGTTGCCAGTACTAATTGACATATGGTTATTGTAGTGAATATAAGTCCCGTGAGGGTCCAATATTATGATGCCTTAAAATTGATAATGATGGAACCGGATGCTCCTCACAGGTTGTCTATACGCCCACCGAGATTCACCAATATCACGAAGAGTATTCGATTGCCAAGTATAGAATTAATGCCTAAATGTTTTATAAGTAAGTTATTTTACTTGTCATTAGTATATGTAAATTATAACTTCTGTACAAAAAATTTACATATCGAGATACTCGTAAAATTGACATTGGTGTTGCTACAAGAGTGGAAGTAATTGCTATTGAGAAGGCGGTAAACTTTTAATTCATAATGATTCCAGGTAGGTAGTTATAGGACGGAATACGTACATTTCAATAGGCTTGTTTTGGACGTTGGGTTGTCGAGTCCACCGGAGAGAGCGACCAAGCAGACACAGGCTCTAATATACATAATAATAGAGTGCACTTGAGTCAGCAACTTGTTTATTCATTCGATGTAATCAAGTTGCATTGTACCTTCGCATTCGTATGCGGTCGTTCTTTCGTGCGACCCTTTGAATTCTATGGCCGAAGCAATATTTTTTTCAAAGCAGCAGTCACAAATTTTTAAGTTTCGACACTTGTTAAAATGTACAATAACATGTAGCTATTAGTAAAATTTTTAGAAATTATCTAATTCGAATACGTAATAGTGTCATTAACATGTAGGAATTGAATAAGAATGTGATTTAATTAATACTTGTATTTATATTTCTCAAAGATGATTGATATTTTGATTGGTCGCTATAATAATTTTAGGTTTTCTTATGGGTGATTATGGGATGGTAACTCCGCTTGTTCTAATGGTATACATTTGCAGGACATCAATGGGGATTGAAGGTGAACATGCAAATATAATTTTTCAGACCGGGGTCTGACCTTGGTATAAATATTATACATAGTGTAAAATCAACCGTAGCGGAAATAATAGCTACGAGTAGGTACCAAGTCAGCACTCCTTGAAATCAGAAAATTAAACGAGTTTCCTTAAGGTACAGTTGAATCCGTTGTAGGTATATTTTTTTATAATTAGTTAAAACATAAAACAATTTTTTTTTAACTTTGTAGCAAATCGAACGACTATTTTATAGTATGAAGGATTATAAAATTAATTACTTTCATGTTTCGACTCGTTCCTTGGTAAAAAATATTACAAAGTGTATAAGTAAACTTCAAAGACATTATAGACCACATAAGGTTAATATGTCCTTGTTCTGTCTTGAAATGTTCGCAGGCAGCCTATGAGCAGGCAAGGTCTCGCTTGGAATAGAAGCACAGAGCGTCTCCCGCGCACCACGTTGACGTTGCTCGCGCGCTTCTACTGCGTGTGGGGCAGCTATAAATACATACACACCAACATTCGCTGCACGTCCGTTCTATATAAATTTGTTGGGCAATATAATTAAAAAAAGTTTACTAAAATAACAAAAACATCCGATTGTAAGAATCGTCGCAGCTCTGTTTGATGAACAATATTTTTTAACAATACTACAAAATTGGTTACGGATGCTCGTCCTCTTAATATAATAAATGCGAAAGTTTGTAACGATGAATTGATGGGTGGATGTTTGTTATTCTTTCACGTAAAAACTAGAAGACAGATTTGAATAAAATTTGGTACACGGGTAGGTAATATCCTAACTTAGTACATAGGATACTTTATGTACTGATTCACGTGGGCGAAACCGCGTCATATAGCTAGTCATATGAATCCTATTTGTATCTAGGGGTAGTGAGTATAAAATACATATTGAAATAAAACGCTGTCAAATAACAGGATTAAGTACTCATGAATGTAGTTTGTAGCGGATAACAATTGAAATGGCGTAGTTTGTGAATCCGACATCGACGTGAATGGTTGGGTGCTCTTCTATGTTCCCATGCTCCGACGTTCTCATGGAAACAATCGATGCGGGCGAAGCAACGTTATTAAATCGAATGGTGCTATTTATATTTACGTTAAATAACTGCATTTATATGCCCCCATTTTTATACGACTAAATATATAAGGATATTGCATTAGTAATTAATAAACATATCTTAAACATACATTTATTATTAGTCCAAACACAGTAGGTATATAATAATATGTAAGTGTACACAGATTAAATAAATATTGTCATGTGCAAATAGAAATGAAAACTGACCGATGATTGTGTAAATTATATTCGTGTAGTACAGATGCAAAAGGAAATTTGTTTGACGTCGATAACTTACTGCCTTACATTGACACCTAATATGGTTTGATCACGTCAGTCTATGTATGCAGCTACATTTCCAGATTCTTGGAGAAGTCAAAACAAAAGTCTATTATCCTACTTCTTATTACTATTATAAACGCGAAACTTTAAGCACGTATTGATGGATTTTTTTTTATACAACTTAGAATGATAAACAAGCTGACGGCCCATCTGATGGAAAGTGGTAACCGTCGCCTATAGACATGAGCAGTACCATGGACATAACAGAGTACCTATACTGTTTCGCCCATGATACCCCCCATGCGTTGCCATTCTTGAGGACTCTGGTGTTATTCCTATGTACCCAGTAAATTCACGCCATATCCCATCCTTCAAATCAAAACACAGCCGTGCAAACACAACTGCTTCACTGTTGAAACACGAATAGGACAGAGGTACCCAAGCAATCGACTTTTATACAAAGACTCCCTCTGGTAAAAAGATGGATATTTGTTTTTCAATACCCTCAATGTGCTGAACAGATTTGAATGAAATATGATATACGACAAGGTTAAAATATGGGGTACTTTATATACTGATAAACCAGGGTAAAGCCACGGCAAACAATTCGTGTTAATAAGTGTCCTTTATGACTATTTGTTAAACTAATGTTGTTAGAAATAAATCAAGTCGGGATATTTTAAAAATGTGATTGCTGTAACTATTAGCAATCGTGCGTGTTTGGTCCTCGGTAGGTTCCTCGAAGATGTTGAAAAAAATTTTTTTAGATATCACATTAGCAACCTCCTATTTCTGCTGCTTGCACAAACTTGATTGGTCAGATAGAACAATATCTTATTTATTGAGAAAGGGTATTGACTATGTATATCTATGTAAAAGCAATAATGAATTTATTGCTTTTATGTCCCCACTTAAGCCTCCCTCATAGATTGTCATAAGTAATGAGCCTGGACTGTGTGTATTCACAGAGTCCTTTAATAAATTAGCGGTTGTCGCTACGTACATCATTAAGAACACTTAGATGTATTAGTAATATTCGTTATTATTACACATTTTACTATTTACTCAAATATTTTGTGTTATTATTAGTAAATAGAGTATGTTATACGGGTACATGTGACACCCTATGTTTATATGCTTTTTTTTATTAGGTCCGTATGCAAATGTTAGTTACATTATTTTTACGTGTAAGTTAAAATGACACTTCGTACAATCCTACTTAATAAGCCAAAACAAGTTTCATAATTTAGCCAAAAGAATACGATATACAACTGCAAGCTTCTTTTAGTGGGTAGTCTGACATATTCCACAATGTAGACGCATTTCTCTTTGTCAGATTTTAAACTTGGAACATGTTTTTATATGCAACACTGTTCCTGCTATCAGATACGTAGGACGTCATGAATACAATTATGATTTTTAACATGTAGGGGATAAGTAATAAATTACTGTACCTACACGTTTCGGGTAGCGGATGGGATGAGCAACACGTGCTCGGTTTCCAGTGGTCTACACAATAACATCATGAGAGACGAGCATTGTTTAGCCGGTAGCCCTCAAATTGAAATGGTACCACGTGTTGAACAGGTTTCAGATATTTGGATAACTTCCGTTTAGTTACTGCATCAATATTTTATATTTGTATATATTATTTAGTATTTATTTGTAATGAGATAATACTATCATTGAGCTATTACGTTATAAGTGCTATTTATGTGTTTTTAAATTTAAAAACATTTTTATATTTTTGTGTTGACAAAATACTTTTATGGTAGACTGTACGTGGGCGCCCGTCGTCTTATTAAGATTAACGACTCTCAGGTATTTTATATTTATGTAAGTACCTACTTATATGAAATCTTATTAATATTCTTTATAGTGAAATGGTAAAGCATAAGCTCGACAAAGCAAAAAATAAAATTAGACTAATAAAAGCATAGAAATTTGTTCGTGAATGCAGTCGAGCAACAAAATGGTGCATTTAGAATGATTTTTGTAAGCTTTTTTACCAGTATTACTATTAAAACAATTGGAAAAAAATCCTTTTATTCCATCAAAAATGTCTAATTCTAGTGTCGTCGTATTGATTATTTGCTCATTGCTGTTCTACAATATTTTAGGGTCTAAATAATCATGAAAAAATTTGTATGTACTTAACAGTAAATATATATTTATTTTTAATTTTATTCATTTATTAGATGCACAAGACAACTTTACAACAATATATTTAACAACAACAATACAGACTTTGTGTATCCTGGCAAGATATATTATTAATGTACGTTACACTATCAATTACATTGTCTGTTATTCATTTTTATTGATAATATCGATGAAGCTACTTTTGAAGACGCGAATAAAAATGTCCTTACTAAGGTATTTTTTCCCATAAAATCCTGCTAGTAAATCACTTTTCGGATAGATGATAGGCGTGGCGGCTGGAAGGACATCGTAAAATTACTTTTAACATTTCTGTAGCTATATTTTTAGGATATATATACGATTGAAATTAATAATGGTCTAATCCACTGACTTATATAATTCCTAAATTTTTTATGTAAATTTGAATATAAAACCATTTTGTTAAATTTAAAAAAGATAAAATTTTTGTAGTGTAGTTTTGATAACTCGATCCATCAATCAGGTGATTGATAAATCAGACTATCGGAGCTAACTATTACCATAGTAGTTAGGTATATCATTGAAGAATTATTCACTAGATCCTAATTTCTAATTAAGAGTAAGTCAATAAGAGACGAAGCATTGCATCGTCAATGGGTATTAATGAACATAAGTAATTTTATGTAAGAATAATCAAGTAAAAGTATCGAGAATTGAACCTATAATAAAGGTACTCATCAGAAGTGAAACTATATCGAATTGTTTATCACGAACTGGTTTTTGTACGTGTCTAGTTATTATAGGAGTTTTTGCGTGCGTGTGTTTATTCGTAACATGCGATACACAATGTTCCCCGTATACATTGGTGCCGTATTAGAAATATCCACTCGACTGTGTGTACAATAAAAAGTGAAATCATATAATAACACAAAATGTTAGTGAAATTTTTCCTTGAACGTTTATTACCATAATATCATGTTTACCCACCTAAGTAGGTTACTTAACGTTATTATACATTATATTTGTTTATTATATGAGTTTAAATTTGCACAGACTGACGAGACTTGTTGGTCATAAACACTAAGTTTGGCAATACTACAAGTAATACTCGTATTGCTGTGTTCAAGTCAGGCTCAAGTGTCATTTGATATTTCTTGGAAGAAGAAACACGATGTCATTGTACTTTACTAGCAACCCTCTACGTTCATTATTTTTATACTCTGCTAGATTCTAAATTACATTTTCCTAAAGTTATTTCTAAAATAAAAAAATACATACTTCATGCTGATTCTTAATATAATTATTGTGCTGTATATCAAATTGAAATTTTAAATTCAGATAATGGAGTTTCAAGATTATTCTACCAGTTTTGGCGGTAAGAGTGTTTATTTGGTAATGTTTGGGAAGTGTTCATTACTACTGGAGGCTAGAGAGTTAGTCAGATACAGATTAAAATTAACAAGTTTTTTTTTAGTTTGATCGAATTATTTAAGGGTCAGATTAAAAACTGTAGTCTGATGAATCAGGAAAAACTACCAGTGGGTCAAGATTTTCAATGAAATACTTATGTATTTATTTATGACCTACAACATCGTTGTAATTTTACATAAAGAATAAATGTATTGTTCTAGAAATACGATTGTGTTGAGTCAGTCATATATTAACATTAGATAAGAATCGGATTCATTTGCATATTATGGTACGTTTATTGGTTCATTGTGATACAGAATAATCAGATTATGGAAAATGTCACACTGTTTGACCCTAAACAAACATTAGTGAACAATTTATGTCATTTTAATTTATCGTAGTTTTTAATTCGTAGTTTAAAATTCTATACGTGCTTTACAAACATTATAACCTTAAACTCCAAATACTGATGTTATGTTAATAAGAAAAACAGTAGAATGCTCCTATTAAATTATATTGATTTATCTACTGTAATACTTATGTTTATATATAAAATAGTACCACTATGACTTTTTATTGTTATTATATTATTATATTTCATTTCTTACGAAGAGAAAGGATCTTTTCTAATCTCGTTGATATTCCAACTTCTCTGTTTCGTAATGAAGGTAACTTGTAGGAATTGCTAAGTTCATTCATAAAACATGTAGCCGAGCGCACGTGGCTCCAGGGGTGAGGGTGGCACTGTGAGACTGTCTTTAGAAAGCAACTTTGTTTTGTTTCTTTTATCATAAGACTTTCTCACATTATGTATGATTAAAGATATAATAATATTAGCAACAATAAAAACAGCCCTTTTATAAGTTTTTTTTTTTCCATTAAAAAAAGTTTTCCTGCAATATATTATAATCTTTTGTAGAAACTTCTTAATTAAATTATCGGATTAAAATAATATGCAGCCTGTGTTTCTCGCTGATAATGTACCTTTCTATATAGATTAAGTAGTTTTTGAGTTTATCCAATACAAATAAACAATCAAATCTTTCTTCTATGTAACATTAGTATGGTATAGATATAGGACTTCTAAAATTAATATTGTAGATAGTTCCATTTATTATTACAGATAAAGTAAATAATACCTATAACTGCTTTTGTTTCTCTACTAGTGTATACTTATAGGCGCTTGGTACTTTGCCAATTCCGCAAAGTTCAATGTCGACTTTATGCGTGAAACAAGGCTTTGTCACAATATTAAAGTATTTGAACACAGCGTCATTTTTCCAATAATAACATACGTATGCAGCAGCAAATGTGGGAGTTGGTAGGCAGCTAATGGTTTTCTCTTTGAGTTCGCGTTGATAGGCAACAAGTGTTTTCTAGTAGCTTACAACAAAGGTCATTGGGAAGTAGCACAGATGTTTTTACTGTTCTTTATCTGCCGTCGAATCGAGCGAAAGGTATCATCATAGTGCCACGTTTCCCGGTGAAATCGCGTATTCTCACACGGCTGACAAAAAAAATGGTGGTATCACTTGAAGCAGTTAATTGTATTGAAATATGCGGTGCGCGTCTTACAAACAGCGTACCTAGTGAAGAATCGGGCTAGCGTGTGTATGTATAGTTGAGTCACGGTTACTTCGATGGCAAACCGCCAATGTTTCCGACACTTCCAACCAACGGTAGGCCAAACTACGCAGCTATAGTCAATGAAAATAGCCGTCGTACAGTCTCCCAGTCGAAGATTCTGAGCTTTAAGTAGATAATGCAGTAATCAGAAGAAAAATAAAGTGTGTTACTTTAATAAGCAGCTGTAACGTTGTACAATATAACGTATTAGCAATATAATCATTCCTTAGCACAATGTTAAGGAATGATTAAAACATCATTTTAATTTGTAACGTATAGAATTATTAGTGAATTAAATTTAGAAATAGTAGCAAATTTTGTGAGTGACGGGATTGATATAAAAGAAATAAGAAATGTTCATGTGACCTGTCTGTCTTATTACATTTTTTTTTTATCAAACAGACCGTATCGTACTAGAGTTTGTTACCTATTTCTGTTGAGATTTTTCTCAGAGTGTGTTTGGTGTAATTTTTGTTTTATATAAATATTTTAAGTCCTTTATTATACATATACACTATTTTTATTCATACAAAACTTAATCGTAGTTTTCGTATATCTACGTAGATATTATTTTATATTGTAAGGAATAATATGATGATGAATAACATGTATCTTTGAAAATACTCGTATATTAATTAAAGTAGTTATAGTTGCAAGATAAACAGCAAGACTGAAAGTGAACGTGGTTTGCTCGAGAAATTGGCTGATTGGCTGTGCAGTTACACCATACATCACAGAGTCTGCGAGTGACATCAACCTTATAAGCTACTTATTGAGAGCAAGTTGGAGGGTAGTTTTGTTTAATATATTTTGTTATAATCTTTATTAACATTAAACAAGTTCTGGCAATATTCATGATTCTATTAATTAATACTACTTTTTTTTCCAGTATATTAAATAAGTTATTCATCTTTTATAGAGTTATCTCTTTTTTCTTCTTATACAATGTCTTTATTAATAATGTTTCTTTTTAAATTTTTTTTTCATGGTATAGTAAGTAGTTTTTACAGCAAAAATAACATTATTTTTGAGTCAACACTATTAATTTACGGCATCGGGGCACCAATGGAAAAGGATCGGTGAGGATAAAGACAAGTCAGTTGGCTCGTCGAAAATTGTGACAATTCACTAGGAATTAACCTCGATGAGATTCAAGAGGAACTTGTACAACAGAGATGCTAGTCTTTATGCCTAACAACCTTCTTCTTCCCTAAGTAGTTGTACTACTTTTTAATAATATCGTTTTTTGTAAATAAATATAGTTACTTCATAGACAGTGTAAGCAGTAAAAGCCAGTTTGTGTAAGGTCGGCATAGAGTTAATAGGCGGAAGAACAGCAATTTGTGTCATAATTATACTCAATTTGGAAGCGGGCTGTGATGATGCACGCAGACAGCCAGTGGCGTTGGACGATGCGACGTAAGGCGGCAGCTACGTATTCACGGTCAATGGTTGGTATTCAGTACATCATAAATCCATTACGATAACAATGCATCATGTAATACATGGGAACCGTTACTTTACAAAAAAATCCCTTACATGGAAAGCGTATTGATTAGTAGTCATCATCTAAGCATAAAAGGAAGTAGATATTGATATATTTATAAAAAGTTATCTGTACTTGAATTACTATGTACATATAAATATGTGAGTGGATCATAACATTCGTAAATTAATTAGTACAATTTTCAATTGACTTTAAAGGGTTTAGAGGGGTTTTCAATTTGACTGGTACTTTATTTCGTGAGTATGATACGCGATATCATTGATGATTTTAAACTGATTTGATTATTGTGGTGATTATTTTTGTAGTTTCTAATTATAAGTATTCTAAAAAGTCTTAAATTCCTACTATATCAGATTATTATTCAAGCTAACAAGTAAGTATTTTAAAATGTAGATCTATATATTGAAATACCTACTTTGCAACAATGTTAGGTATATTATTATTTCTGCAAACAGGTGTAGGTAGACATATAAATTTTAATGTGTATTGGAGACGTGACTGTGTATATAAATGTGTAAGTTAAGAGTTTCGTGTACTGAATTTGATCGAGAATCACATCCTCCAATATGTGTACGAAATGACTTCATTGTATTGATAGGTTTTTGCAATAACGAGTTTCCAGTTAAATATTAATTAATAGGTGTAGTTATTTCTATTCTCTTTACAGCATACATAATTATAATATTTTCCTTGCTTCATCCCACTACATACAAGTAATATAATAATATTATTTATGCCTATTCAAATTGCGAAAAGTAGGTATTCAGATAAAATTGAAAACTTATGCGTAAACGTCAAGTGAAATACGCAATACACAGTATATAAAATTAACGCAGTACGTAGGTGGCAAGATAGTTTTATATTGCAGTCAACGATTTACGTAAGATAAGGTCGGCTTATCACAGTGTCGACGTGACGCGACGTAGAAAGCGATTTCAAGAACAATTTGCGCAATAGCTCGACTCGTCGCGTCGTCAGTTCCATTTCATTAACGAAGACATTGTTATGATTGCGAGGCAAAACCTTGTGTCTAACATTGGTAAGGTTAAAAATCTATAGAGATTGAATAATCACCATAGTATTTATGGTCAAAGTCAACGTGTTGGAGCGTTCAAAGTGTATGAATCACGCACAGCATGGACGCGATTTGTTTGGTTGCAACAAATTTGAGTACGAAAATTAAGTGAATACTTGTAGTACACAAAAATATTTTTAAGAAATACCTACTGAAAAAGTTGTTATTGTAATATTTTTTATGACTTGGAAAGATAAACATGCTGAATTTGAATATTGTGATAGACAGCGATAATCGTCACCCATACTTATAGATATGTAGGTTACACCACAATGGTTAATATCACAAATATAAACAATATGTATATGAACAATAATTGAAATAAAATTTATTAAAGAAAATATTATATGGCTTTAATAATTATAATTCAAGATTGCGTCCCACAAAAAAAAAAAAAAACTTACCTACTCAACTGTGACAAAACCAGTTATTTTGATCTAAAACTAAACTACTGAACCGATTTTAATAAAATTTTAATGGGACCAATCTAATATATCCTTTCAGATAAAAATGAATTTTCCAAATCGGTTTACAACTGAGTTATGAGGTAATAAACATAAAAAAATACAACCGAATTGAGAACCTCTTTCTTTTTTATGTCGGTTGAAAATTGTTAGATTCAAAATTTTCCTCTTCAGAAAATCAGTATGATAATGTGATGTTTATCTGCATTTAAAGAGTTGATAAAATAATATAAAATTATTATTTTATCGGAATTATAAGTGATAAATATTGCGTTGTAACTTTAAAGTATATAATGAATTTAACAATACGTATAAGTACTTATTTGTAGACAAAATAAACTAGCCAATGACGAGTTGTAGTGATAAGTGGTAAAGCGAATCCAACCATAAGAAAACGTATCAAATAAAATATTTTTTATGAAAGTATAGCTTAAATAACTGTACGTAGCTCCAGTAACTGGTATTCACAGGCATTGGTACCAGTTACTTAAGCCATGTAACCTGATTATAGTATCAAATAACTAATAATTTTTGTAAAAATTATTTAATTAAAGCTATCTTCAGCGTTTGCGAATCATGATATTCATGAGTATACATTACTAGCAACACTATAATGCGCTGTCATATGTAACATTTAACACTAATATGATACGACTCGTGTTCAGTTTGTATCGTTATCGTTACACTGATCCCTATATCTGTCGCCGACATAATTGCTCTCTTGATGAGTGTGAGTGAGAGATCACTTCAAGTCAACGACGAGAGCTCGCCTCACTCACAGCTCATAGTGACCTTTGCGTGTGTGACTCACATTGCGTTGATTGGCTCATCCTGCTCTTCTGTAGATATCTTAACTCTTTGACAGGCATCTCTTACTCTATCTTCAATCTGTAACCTATTCAAAAGAGGATGTATTTTTGTAATAAATAAATCGATGAAATATTTTATAATATATAATTGAATTATTTACATATGATATTTTGGTAATGTAAGGTAATCAATTATAGCATTATCGCAGTATTACACTATCTGTATTATCTTCGAATTGAACACAAATATTTATAATCAAAATATTTGAAAAGGTAATATTTATGGAATAAGAATCAAGAATTAAAACGAATAAGTATCTCATTTCGCTACTTTTACACTTTTCTAGAAGGAAAAACATATTAAAAAGAGATGAGGGATCTAGGTGTAGGTTGTTTTATCAATAAAGTAAGCTCTAGACATTTTCTAATATCTACAACGTTTATTTTTATTTATATAAATTTCTAATATATATAACGTTGACGGGGCGTGCGCGGGCGCATCTCGAGTTACGGCTGGACTAACTGCTTGACTTGTTTCTTTGTTTTTTACTCATTGCATCCATGCTAAGTGCAAATGCAAATGGTTCCCGTCTCGTTTACAAAGATGTTTTTATACACTCTACTGGCTATTTATTGAAGCGCCATTATTTCGAATTTCTGAGAACTAGGAAAGCATAAGTCAATTAAGGTACAGAAGCCGCTAAGTATTTGCGATATGTTTAGTTATGTATGGGGGATATAGACCTATATAAGTTAGATGAGAAATTAAATAAAAAGTTATTTTTTTATCTACTAGTGTATAGTGATTAGTGATCTGGCTCAGCTTAGAACTACGTAATTTATAAACCAATTTGGAGAATCCTTTTTAAAAGAATATATTTTTTGAAAGAATATTTTTGGTTTCATACTATTGGCCAATAGAAATTTTATTAAAATCAGTTCATGCCCGTTCTGAAGATCTGCTCAGAACAGAAAAAGTGGAACAAAATGTATATATCTCAAGGATCATTTTGACAAATCGTGTATTCTCATTCTGTATATAATGGGCAATATTACGAAAAATCTTCATTTCTAGCACAAAATAAATAGCCTATTCGTAAAATTTATATGTACAATTAGGGTCAACCACCACGAAGGTAACAAATAAGACAATAGATTTAAAGACTATGTGCAATGTAGGTACTGTTATGAAGCGTGAAGCCGTTGTAACATTTAAGATTTTATGTAATTTACTTAATCTTATGGTATAATAATAATATCACGGCCACATTACGGTAACATCGTTATTGTTACTTTGCACTAATACCGTAACTACGTATACTGCGTCAGTTGTAATATAATGATTGTATGACTCGTTGCTTTTTAAGTAGTTTTTTTTTTAGGTTAAATGGCAAAGTGGACTTTTTATAATTGAATTATTTCTGTTTTAATGTTCTTCGGATATAAAATGGCCTGTATATAAAAATTTGGGTAAAAAAATCATTAGGTCTTAGTACAGACATATCATAGAATAGTGGCTTTAAAAAAAGTTTTCTTAAAAAGAATGGCAAGTACATTTTACGTATGCATAGATAAGCACGAAGACGAATAGACCGATATAAATGCCATAGACAGTATTTTCATCATCATATGCATCATATGCTCATGGTACTGTTCTTTTGAGGTCATTCCTAAGAAATAAGGAATTATGCGATTGCGATTAAGAGATTATCAGAAATTTTACATTAGGCGTTGGTGTTTACGGTTTCTAAAGTGTAGTATATTATAATACTTATGTCACCAACTATGGCAATAAACGTAAGATATGTTTATTCTGCAAATAATTTTATTTTATTATGGGTGAAAATAGAGTGATGAGATCGCCTAAGGGGTACCAGTAAGAGATAATAGATGAAATAGGTCAATCAGCCCATCGTGACAAATTGAACAAGAATTAATCATGATAGTTTCCAGGGAGAAACGCGTGATGGTCGATCTACTAATGCATATTCGTAGCAA